AGCTGCATAGCCCCCCCCCCCCCGCCGCCAAAAAAGAGAATATTGAGATGCTAATTATGGAAAATGTGTCTTTCAGATTTCTTTTGGGAAAACATAAGGCTGCCATCGAAGTATACAGCGAAGCGGCTAGACTCAACCAGAAAGATTGGGTGAGTGGGGAGGACTTCCCTTCAATTTTTTTTTTTTTTTTGGTACTGGATCCAACTCTGGACTATGTGTTTGTGTGGCGGGTGTAGTACCACCAAGCTAAATCCCTGGCCCTCCTTCTATCTTTTAGGAAGCATGTTAATGGTTCAGTTCTAAAAAGAGCAATCCTGTTGTTATTACAGAATTCTTACATGCCAAAATATCTGTATTTTCACACTTTTTATCACTGAAGTTCCAAACCATCATCAGTAGGTGGCTCGTTTAATTTTTCCCCAATCTGCTTGACATTGTTGGCTATTTCACTCTGAAAACTCTGCCTGTCCTTGGGTGAGAATTTTCCTGGAGTGCCTTTTTGATTTTTTTCTCCCCTCCATTAGCTCAGGGTGGTATTTGTTTATTCATTCATTCACTTATTCCTTCTGTCTCAACCCCCTAAGAGCTGGGACTCAGGCATGTGTATGTCAGTTGGAAAGTGTGTGTAATTGCAACAGATAATTGTGTAGTTGCACATTGGCTGTACAAGCTAGGGATTTATTGTTTTCCTGCGTGAAACAAAAAGTCCTGCTAAATAGTTTCTGGTTGACTTGGTTTTCCTAGAACATGAAGAAAGAGGCTTTTTCCTCATGGTTGCAAGATGGCTGCTGTAGCTCTAACAACACATCTGTATTCCTAAGGAGAAAGAGAAAGCAACAAGGAATAAAGGGGACACTACCTATATTAGGAAAGCACAGGTATCCTAGAAGTTTTCAACAGACTTCCACTTACATCAGATCAGCTGCCCCTGTGTAAGGAAGGTTGGAAAACACAGATTTTAATCTGGGCTATTGCCACTTAAGACAGAATTAGTGTTCTTTTAGCAAGGAAGAGAGGTGAGTGGCATTAGGGGGGTAACTAGCAGTGTCTGCTCTACTCTTTGCTACTTTCTAGGTATGATAGAATAGTCTGTATTCATTCCCCATTTCTCATAACTCATTTTTTTAATTTGTTTTGAGACAAGGTCTCACTGTGTAGTCCAGGCTGGCCTTAAACTTATGGCAGTTCTGCCTCAGCCCTCTGAATGGAAATTTCATTTTCTTTCTCTTTTTTTTTCTTTTTGAGATGAGGTCTTGCGGTGTAGTCCAGGCTGGTCTCTGGCCCTCCTCCTGCATCAGCCCTTGAACGCTGGGATTATAGGTGTGTGCCACGACCCCTGGCTTCATGACTCCGTTCTATCTCCTTGTCTTACTTTGTACATTTGGGACACCTCCTCGGTCTCCCAGATGACAATTTTCAAAGCTATGTATAGAATGTTGTTTAGCCTGTCTATTCAATTTCCTTTTACTCTTTATTTTGGTGAGAAGATTGAACCTAAGGCCTTCTTACTGGGCTTCCCCAGCCCCCACTCTTTTATTTCCAATTTAGGGTCTTGATGTAAGTCACCCAGTGCCCAGGCTGGGCTTGAATTGGTGATCCTCCTGCCTCAGCCTTCCAGAGTGCTGGGATTACAGGTGTGCATCCACCATGCCCATCTCTATTCATTTTTTATTTTGGTACTGTAGTTTTGTTTTGTTTGAGACAACTTGTAATTCCTGGCCTCAAACTCATGGCAGTTCCCCTGTGTCAGCCTCCTGAGGGCTGGGATTTCAGGCATGTTCATTCCACTATGCCTGGCCAGTAACTGTATTTTTTTTGGTGTGTGCGTGTACCAGGGATCAAACTCAGGACCTTGTACTGGCAAGGTAGGCACAATGCCACTGAGCTAAATCCCCCCCAGTAACTGTATTTAAAATTTCTTGTTGATTTTTTGTTTGTTTGTTTTGTTTGTGTTTTGGTTTTTTGAGACAGGGTCTCACTATGTAGTTGAGACTGATCTGGAATTCACTATGTAGCCCAGGCTGGTCTTGAACTCATGGCAATCCTCCTGCCTCAGCCTCCCGAGTTCTGGGATTATAGGCGTGTGCCACCATGCCTGGCCATTGTTGGTTTTTTGTTTTGGTACCAGGGGATTGAATTCAGGACCTTGTGATTGCGAAGCAGGCATAGTGCTACTGAGCTAAATGCTCGGCTGTATTTTTAATTTCTGAGAACTTTGTCTTTTCTTGTAATACCCTTTCCAGCTTTCCCCATCTGCTCTTCTAACTGAAACAAAATAACTGTCACACAGTAGGTTTTGGTATTTGTTGAAATTCCCTGAAGATTCCCAGATGATGCTACCTCCAGAGTCTTAATATTAGCTACACTTCTTAAAGTTGATTCTTTAGGGGCCGGGGATTTAGCTCAGTGGTGGCACACCTGCCTCACAAGTACAAGATCCTGAATTTGATCCCTGCTACCAGGAAAAAAAAAAGTTAATTCTTTAAATTCTGTTCTGCTTCCCAGAACTCTTTCTTTTCCTCTCTGTGTTTCTTTTCTGTTTTGGCCACTAGGGATTGAACTCAGGGCCCTGGCCATGCTGGGCACGCACTCTGACAAGCTGCATCTCCAGCCCTTTTACTTTGTATTTTTAGTTGGGCTTTTTATAAGTTGCCTTGGCTTGCCTTGAACTTGCAAACTTCCTCCCTCAGCCTTCTAAGTAGCTGAGATCACATGTGCCAGGCGTCAGTTCTTTTTCACACTGTTGGGTTTTTTCCAAGATTTGAGCATTGTTGGGGAGCATTCATATCTGTGAGAGGACCAGATCGATTCCTGGCCTCTGCGGTTCTTGTGGCTGTGTGTTGAGTGTGTCAGTCCTGTGCCTGCTGCAGGAGTGAAGAGGAGCTGTCTGAGTCGTTATGCTGTGGAGTTACAGCTGACCGCGAAAGTGAGACAAAGTAGAGCTGGGGATGCAGCTTGGAATGGTCCTGGGTTCTGCATGCGTGCATACACAGACAGACATAAGAGAAGAGGTATAATTCAGTGACTTTGTCATTCAGTAGTCGTTTCCACAGTGACCGCGTGCGCGCACTGGACCTGCTTTGTGCTCTGGAGGCGGCTCGGTGCACTGTGGGCTCAGCGCTCCGAAAGGGAGAGACTGGAGGGAGAGGAGTGAGCTCTGAGAGCGGGGATGGCTGCGCAGGAAGTGTGGGGTGTGGGGGGACATGGCAGTTGCAGCGTGTGCAGTGCACAGAGAGATCGGAGGCCCCGGTACTCTGGGCCCGAGGTGTCCAGTTGGGAGTCCGCAGTGTGGAGAGGGCAGCGGAAACTGGGAGGCTGGATAGCGTCGCTGTGAGCTGAGGGTGAGACCCTGGAGCCCGGATGAGTTAGAGGAGCCCAGTAGAAGCCCAGGGCAGCAAGGACTCGGCCAGGCTCTGCACTTCCCGCAGCTGCTGCCTGCTGAAGGCTCTGCTGTCTCTGCCTGCGCCTGTGAGCCTCAGGGGCACCTGTGGTGAGCTCGGCCGGCCTGCTGCTGTACTCTGGTCAGTAGCCGGCCACAGCAGGGCCCTGCGAATTCCGCCAGCCCTTCCTTGGTTTTTGCAACAACTCTATAAAGAGGGAGCATTTTTCATTGCTGACTGATGAGCCAGGAGGCTGAGGCTTTGGGAGATGGAAGGATGTGCGAAGGCAGGCCAGAGCCAGAAGGAAGCCGGCCTGGAATGTAGGTTTGCGCACTTGAGCCTGTGATCGCGCCACTGCTGCTTGTGCTGTCTGTTTAAGGCACATTGCTGCTGCCTTCTCATGTCCCATCTGCTGCGAATGATGCAAAACACACTCAAGAGGAGAGAGGCCAAGTTCCTCCCACCCCACGACACATTCTCCCAGCACAGTGAAGCAGGAGGGACACATGTTTCTGGGGAGTCCACAACTGAGGTCCCTGTGCTTTGTCATATGGACATGATTTGACTGCAATTTAAGAAAAGTAATATTTATTTATATATTTATTTAAAAAAGGGAACCAAGATAATTCAGTGGAGAAAGAATAGTCTAAAATGTTCGGTAACTGTGTGGGTACAACTGGATATCAACATGCAAACAGGGCCGGGGATTTAGCTCAGTGGTTCCGCCGCCTGCCTTGCAAGCGCAGTGACCTGAGTTCAATCCCTTGTACCAAAACAAAACAAACGTGCAAACAAATGATGTTCGGTCCCTGTCTTGAGTCATATACCAAAAAGGAACTGAAGTTGAAGTGTAGACCTAAGTGTAAGGAATGAAACTATAAACTCAGAAGAAAACAGACTTAAATCTAAATTGTGTGACCTCGAGTTAATAAAAGAATTCTCACCCATAATGCAAAAGCAAACACCAAAAGTTAAACACCTAAGTTAAATTTCATAAAAATTTAAGACATTTGCATCTTAAAGGACACTCTCAAGAAAATGAAGACAGCCCATAGCACAAAGAAAACATTTGCAAGTCTTAAACCTGATAAGGGACTTATATACACAGTATATAAAGAACTCACAAGTCCATAATAAACAATATAACTCAGTGTTTAAAATGGTGAATGTTACGGAGGAACCGTGAATGCCTTTTGTTAAGGGAAGAAAGTGAATCACAGAAGTCATTTCATTTACAGGAAATGTAACCCCATGGAGGGAATCCTTGGCTGGGGAAGGTGGAAATAGGAACACCTCCATGTGGGTACAAGATTTCTTTGTGGGGTGCCAGGGGACCCCTCCTTCTCCACACTTCCAGCACACTGATCGCCTTGCTGTCCAGCGACCTCACACCTTTGGGGCTGTCCACGGACTCCTCCCTCCCCTAGATGATCTTCTCCATCATCTGCATGGCTGATTCCTTGTCTTTCACATCTCAGCTTAAAAATCATCCCCTTTGTGGTTCCCCTTTGACTGTCCGATCTAAAGTAGCTACCTGGTCACTTGGCTAATTGCTCATTCCTTATATATCATTTATATCATTTATTCATTTAATCCACTCTTTCAAAATTAAGGGTGCTTCTTATAAGCCAAGTACTTATGAGATTATAGGAATGACCAAGGGACAAAATTTCTGCCTTCCTGTAATGGTATAAATTGGTGGAGAGGGTGTTTATTTATTTATTTTGAGACAAGGTCTCACTGTGTAGTTCAGGCTGGCCTTGAACTCACTATATAGCCCAGGCTGACCTTGAACTCGGTGATCCTTCTGCCTCAGCCTCCTGAGTGCTGCTGGGATTACAGGTGTGTGCCACCATGCCCTGTAAGAAAAGTAATTTTTAAACCCATGGGATATTTATGAACAGTTGGAACATCTGAACATAATTGAATACTATGTGATATAAAGCAGTTACTAATCTTTTCAGGTGTGATAATGGTATTGTAGTTAGCTTTTTTCTTAAAGACTCTGCATGACTAAGGCAGGAGGATCACAGGTTTGAGCCTAGACCAGACAACTTAGTGAGACCTAATCTCAAAGGCTGGTGACAGGGATGTAGCTCAGTGTGAAGGCACTGAGTTCAGTCCTCAGTGCCACACACACAAAAGCAGGAGTAGATGCAATACGAAGCAAAGAGTTGTTGAGACAGGGTGATGAGTTTGTGGTGATTTTACACATGGTTAGAATATAAAACAGGCCAAAAATTCCAGTACTTACACTTTCTGTGTTAGGCAAATTACTTAATCTCTCTGAGCTGTCCTTTTCTGTAAGACTTGAACAGTCATGCCTATGTCAGAGATTTGTTGGAAAAATGAAAGTTATACATATGAGAACATCTGGCGCAGCTGTTTAGAACAGGGGCGGCATCAGTGTTGACTGTTTTGTCCTTATTTTAGGAGACTTGGGAAACTGAACTGGTCGTCTCTGGGCTCTGGGGCTGAGTTCTGAGACAGGGTCACATCCCCGTGTCTGCAGGGCGGGCCTGTCTTCCCAGTGCACTGTTCCCACATGCCCTCTCCTCCTCTCAAGCGGCCTTCTGAAAAGGGGATTCGAGGGACTCCACACTCGTAGGGTCAGGGGACAGACAAAAGCTGTTGGCAGCCAAGGTAGTTACTCTGCATGTTTGCTTCATCTTTCCTGTCTGTAGATCAGACAGTAATGGGGATTGAACTCGGGACCTTGTGCTTTTGAGCAGGCGTGGTGCCACTGAGATAAATCCCTGGCCCCCAACTTTTTTTCTTTAAAGAGCAGAAAGTATTTTGAGCTTCGCAGCTTCCCACAGACTGTTGGAGCTCCTTAAGTCTGCAGTTTGAGTATCAAAGAGCCACATGAAAACAGCTGATCACAACTGAGTTTCAATACAAGTTCACAGAAAAGGGCAGAGAATGGTTGGTCAATGGGCCAGTTTCCTGACCTCCGCTGCCTTCTAAGGGCGGCCTCCAATGACATATGTCCCATCAGAGCGCCGCCAGATGGCGCTGTCAGTCCCCAAGTCCACATCCACAGCGCCCATTGACTTTCTTCCTTGCTCCAATCCAACTCCAGGGGCCTGGGAGAGAACTGATTGTGTGTCTCCCGAGCAAGACAGGCAGGCAGCAAGACAGGCAGACAGGGTTTCCTTAAGGTTGAAGCAGGGGCTGTGGATCGTGTCTTGTGAGAATGGCACAAAGGAAGTGGGCGGGGGCAGCTTTTGGAGAGATGAAAGTCGGGAGATAGGTTGGATATGCACTCTTCGAGAGCCACAGATCAGGAAGGTCGCCTGTTTAGTCTGCTATTTTTTCCCATCTATATTAAAAAATATATATAATAAATATATTAAAAATATTCACTTTATAGAATTAGATATGGTTGGGTGTGAACTCCAGTTTAAAAAACCCCCAGCTACAGTGCATGTTGAAAAGTTCACCCTTTGCCATGCAGTAACAGCCTCTGATGGCTGGTCTGCGCCTCCTGCAGAATTGCACCTGAGCTGCTGCCTTTGTTCTGCCGTAGGAGATCTGCCATAACCTAGGGGTGTGCTACATGTACCTGAAGCAGTTCAGCAAGGTAAGTAGTCGACAGCAGGGCGTTTCTCTGAGGATGCCCTGTTCCAGAGATACAGGTGCGCCATTCATGTTGTTATTCTAGTGCTTGTAGACCTTTTTGATGCTGTATTCTAGTGCTTGTAGAGCTTTTTGGAAGTGAAAAAAATGCCTTCTACTCCTGTTCCCATTTTTTCCTTTTTCTTTTATGGTGCAAAGGATTGAACCTAGGGATTGCATCTGCTCTCCAAGAGTTCTGCCCCAAGGAACCCCTTACTGCTTTAAATTTTTTTCTCCTTTTTTTAAGACTTGGTTTCACTAAGTTGCCCAGGCTGGTGTTAAACTTGAAACCTTCCTGCCTTAGCCTCATTTTAATTCATTCTCACTTGCCACTGCTCATCTTTTTTCTCCCCCACTTGCTTCTGATAAAAAAATGGAAAATTTTAGAAATATTAGTCCAATTGCTTTCTCTTTTCTATAGTTTGTTTCTAGCAAATGTTCAATAAGTATCAGAAAGTGGAATCTTAAATTGAAAAGGTGTAATCACAACTATATGATATGCTATGAAAAGTTTTTGTTTTATATGAAAGAAAACACAGTAGAGTACAGTGGCTGTACTAATAACCAAATAAGAGAATAAAAATAGTTAATACACTGTTTTTTTTTTTTTTTTTTTTTTTTTTTTTGGTACTGGGGATTAAACTCAGGACCTTGCACTTGCGAGGCAGGCAGCAGCACCCCTGAGCTAAATCCCCCACCCTCTTGTATCATTATCTTTGAGTATAAGACATAGACCAAAAAGATTCTTACAAAGAAACAGAACTTTCTTTACAACAAACTAAGATAAACTAAGAGTATAAATAAAATACCTTAGCATATATTTTAAGATATTTTTGAAACAATGGAATATGTAATTTGGGAAATTATTTCAAGCTCTCCCTATCTTCTATTATGCTCTTTAGTTGTGTGTATGTATATATTTTATGTGCGTTTCTCATATAAGAGAAATCATGCAAAATTTAAGCTACGTGTCTGGTTTATTTCATTTAACATTATGTTCTCAAGTTGCAGCCATTTCCCTATGAGTTTCTCAAGTTTAACTTTTTTTTTTGGTACCAGGGATCAAACTTGGGTCCTCGCACTTGCAAGGCAGGTGGCGGAACCACTGAGCTAATTCCCTGGCCCTTTCAAGCTATCTTTGTGACGGCATAGTATCCCATTGTGCTTAAATACCACATTTTCCTTATTTGCCTGTTGATGGGCATCTGTGCTGATGGGCATATATGCTATAGATCTATCTTTTATCAGTAGTGCTGCTATAAACATGGATATGCATATATCCCTGGACTACAATGATTTTAACTCTTGGGAAGATACCTAGAAAAGGGATAGCTGGAATTTCTATGTTTTGTTTTTTGAGGACTCTCCACACTGATTTCTGTAGTGGCTATACTAGTTCATATTCTTGTCAACAGTGTAGAAGGGTTCCTTTTCCCCACATCCTTGCTGGCATTTGTTACTAGATTTTTTTTTTTTTGTACCAGGGATTGAACTTGGGTCCTTGTACTTGTGAGGCAGATGCTGGAACCACTGAGCCAAACCCCCAGCCCTGTTATTAGATTTTTTGATGATACCCACTCTTTCTAGGGTAAGATGCAGTCTCAGTGTAGGTTTAATTTGCCTGGAAAGTGATGATGAGCATTTCTTCATGTGTTTGCTGGCCATTTGTACTTCTGAGAAATGTCTGTTCATTTCAGTTACCCATTTTTGATTGAGCCTTTTATTTGGGGGAAGAATCTAATTTCTGAGTTCTTTACATATTTTCTTGGCGTCGGGTGGTGGTATGATTTGCTGAATGCAGGGTCCTTCCAGGAAAGCCATGGTCCTTCTGGGGCAGTGACTTGGTTCCCTTTCCTCCGTCACACTTGTCAGGCACAGGACCAGCTGCGCAGTGCGCTCCAGCTGAACAGGCACGACCTGACCTACATCATGCTGGGGAAGATCCACCTGCTAGAGGGCAACACGGACAAGGCCATCGAAATCTACAGGAAAGCAATCGAGTAAGGGTCTGTTTGCTTGTTTAGAGCAGCAAAAACAACACAGAGTAGGTATGTGAACTCCCAGCCCAAGAGAAAACACTGTGAGTGATTAGTTGCATGAGTGAGATAAAAGCTAAGGCTTAGCTTTCAGGCTCCAGTGAATGGAATCACTTCTTTCTCACCTGCGAGACACGGCTGCCAGTGATTCCTTACAGGTACTGCAGTGTCCATGCTCCGGGTGATGGTGAGGGCGGGAGCACCGGGGCTAACCAGGGAATAAGCGTCTGGAAGCGAGCTGTAAATGACGTGGCTCCTGCTCACATTTCTTGCTTCAGAATTAGTCAGGAGACAGCACATAGCGGTAAGAGAAAAGGGCAGACGTGTACTGGGCATGATCTGGAGGGCAGGTCGTGCCATGTTGGTTTCATACTGAGGACAGATCTTGTATTTGCAGAGATCCTGTTAGGGACAGAGCTCTCCTGCCTCAGCAATGAACATCTGTCCCCATCATCCTGAGGCCAGTGCCTTGGTGGTTTTGGTGCTGGGCCTTGAACCCAGGGCCTTGCACATGCTAAGCACACTTACCGCTGGCATATGCCTGTGGCCCCAATGTTTTCTTTTTTTCTTTGTCTCTCTGTTTATTTTTAGTACTGGGAATTGAACCTAGGACAGTCACACTGAGCTATGTCCCTACCCTTTAAAAAATGTTTGTTTTTTTAATTTGGGACAGAATCTCATTGTGTCACTAAATTATCTATCTGGGCTTCAGTTTGGCAATCCTCCTGCTTCTGGGATTACAGACATGCACCATTATACCAGTACATTTTCTTTTCGGTTTTTTGAGACAGGGTCTCACTATGTAGTTGAGACTGACCTGGAACTATGTAGGCTCAGGCTGGTCTTGAACTCACAGCGATCCTCCTGCCTCAGCCTCCCGAGTGCTAGAATTATAGGCATGCGCCACCATGCCTGGCAGTACATATTCTTTTTAAAAACACTGCTAGGGTAGTACAGACCCCTGCTGCCAGTGTACCTGACTGGTTTTCTTGCAATGGAGTTCCAGGTTTCTTCCCTGGGGGCACATGTAATTCTGTCCATGCTTTATAACGTCTTCTTTCTTTTAATTAAGCAGGGCAGCTGTAACAGGATGTTCTCAGTCTTATTTGTTAGGTCAATTTATAAGATGGCTGGTCAAGGGCCAGGGATTTAGCACAGTTGATCTGCCGCCTGCCTTGCAAGCACAAGGTCCCGAGTTTGATCCCTGGTACCAAAAACAAACAAAAAAAACCCAAAACAAACTTGTTAATCTGTGTGGCTTAGAGTGAAGGCACTAGTTTAATTACTGCTGTGTTCCACATTTAAAAAAACACTTCTTAAGAGCCAGGGATTTAGCTTAGTGGTTCTGTTGCCTGCCTTGCAAGCGCAAGAACCCGAGTTCGATCCCCAGTACCAAAAAAAAGAAGGAAAATTAAAAAACCAGTTCCTATAGCTGGGCATGGTGGTGCACACCTGTTAATCCTAGCACTCAGGAGGCTGAGGCAATGCAGGAAGAATGCTGTGTGTTCCACACCAGCCTGGGCTACATAGTGAGTTCCAGGTCAGTCTCAACTACATGGTAAGACCCGGTCTCAGCTGCCCCCCACCCCCCAAAAAGATGGCTGGTTGGTAGTTCAGGGTCTCTTATTCTTGAAAATTAGATTCTGAACTAGGTTTAGATTTCTATTATTAATAACTTCTGTTTTCTACCACAGAAGTACATTTTCTGATTGTATCAATTACCACACTACTTTCTGCATTTTCTTCAGTTACACTTTGCATCTAAAAAATCAGAAAAACCTTTTGGTTCAGTAAATTACCAGAGACTTTTTGGCCAGGTGTGGTGGTATGTACCCGTGATCCCAGCACTCAGAAGGCTGAGGCAGGAGAATCACTTGAGTTTGAGCCCAGCCTGAACTACAAAGTGAGGCCCTGTCTCTAAAAACAAAACACACAAAAAAGCTTTTGTTGTCCAAGGCTAAGTTTCCCTGGACGAGGAGCCATATAACTGGTTAGGGACGTCTGGGGTGCTGGTAGCTCAGATTCTTAGTGCTGCCATCTGGAAATTGGCAGTTTGCGGTAAGAGCACATGGACCCCGAGGTGGACATCTGTCCAGTGACTGCTTAAAGGTGCACAGGTAACAGCTGAGGTTGTGGAGTCCATCGTGTGGGGACAGATGCTGCCATCTTCTGTGGTCCCAGGCTGGAGTGACCGGCCTGGACATTCATGCAGGCAGGAGGTGCAAGACAGACTCGGCTTCCCGGGGAAGGCTTTGCTTGGCCAGGTCAGGCAGCTCTGGCTCTGGGTCGCTGACTGGCGCCCTCTGTCAACTCCTGAAGGGCAGGAGTCATGCTGCATGCCCTGGGCATTCTGTTTGATGACCCTGTAGCCTTCCCCAGGGATCATTATCACGGGGGTTGAGGAGGGAATGATGTTTTCCTGAAGTTGCTGTTTACTCCTGAGGGCCGCTTTGTTCCTGTGGTTGCTATGTGTAGTTTGGCTGTTTAGCATGACTCTTGTTTAATTTGAAAAGTGCAGCATCAGGGGCCTTGTGGGCCTAAGTTACACGGAAAATTGTGCTGTGTGGTATCATGAGCAGTGCAACCAGAAAAAAGAAACCCCCAGTGAGACTCGCTTAAGCCATGGGTCTGGGCGCACTCGGTTGTAAAGCTTGGTTCTCACCTGCATAATCAAGGCTGTCACTTAGCAAATTCCACATGTTTGTTATTAGGATATTGGCCCTGAGAAAGGAATTTGGATTGTAAGTCCTTTTTTTCCCCTCTGTTGAGCCTTGCTATAGCCAGGGTTGTGGTGATCTGCTTTTTAAATTTGCAGTCCTGGGGATTGAACCCAGGACCTTTGCACCGAGCTGCACGACATGCCCAGCCATTAAAAAGAAATTTAAAAAAATTATTTTCTAGACAAGAGTCTCACTGAGTTGCCTAGACTGGGCTTGAACCTGTGATTCTCCTGCCTCTGCCACCCAGAGGCTGGGTTTAGATGTGTGTGTCATTGCTCTGGGCTGAAGACAGCCTGCTTTCATAGGAATTTCCTTGGGTGCAGTCTCAGTCCTGTCTGACAGCCTGTGGAGTTGTACTGTACTCGGTGGCTCCTTTCTGCCCCCACCCTGGGGTCGGGCTGGTGACTGACTCCTTGCACGTGTTTTCAGGCCATCCTGGCGGCAGGCAGCATGATGCAGACACACGGGGACTTCGATGTTGCCCTCACCAAGTACAGAGTTGTAGCCTGTGCTGTCCCAGAAAGTCCTCCTCTCTGGAATAACATTGGAATGTGTTTCTTTGGCAAGAAGAAACAGGTGTTACAGGAGAGCCACGAGCCATGTGTGGGTCTTTTTCTCACCCTGGCCTCCCTCTGAGTGTCTGTGTTTCAGGTTCTCACCGGAAAACACGGAGCTGCTCACAACACTGGGGCTGCTGTACTTACAGGTACGGACACCCTTTCTCCACGCAGGGGTGTTGGGAATGCTCGTGGATTCTGCTGCACCTGGATATTTAATGTATTTTATTGGTGGTCATGGAGCACATGAATCTTACTCTGTATTTGAGTCTTTGCTAAAGGAGTTCACTTGCTTCACTTAAATCAGGAGAACTCTGTTATAGCCTTTTTGCAATTATGATTTGTATTCACCAGGAAGCGGGCACAGAAAATGCTCTGGTCTGGGGGTGCAGAACTGGAAGTGAGCACTCACTGGGCCTGGGGCACATGCTGTTTCTTCCTTCCTCCCTCCACCCAGGGTCTTAACAGGAAAACAAGATAGCAAAGTACACTTTGTCCACAGTGGAAAACCTCCGCTATTCTTTGCATTCCTGAGAGCGTATGGTTCTTTCAGCTCTGTTGCTTTTCTACCTCAGCCTGGGACCTGGGCTGGGGTCAAGCAAGGCTGCCCTGCCCGCTTGTTTCCCTGTTGGACTGATTTTCTCCCAGGTCGGCCAGGTGGTAACCCTGATGTCTGTCTGTCTGGCTCCTCTTTAAGAGGAACCTGAGACTGGCCAGCGCATGTCCAGCCAGGGGTCATTAATGTGGAACAAGGCAAAAGCGACAGAAATGGTTTTGGCATATAGCGCTTTGCCCTTGAGGAGACAACAAAATAAGAAAACTGAAAATATGGGGATTTCTGTTCTCTTTAAATGAGCATCTATTCTGTTCAGGATGCAGCTGGCCATCTCCTCCTTTATGTAAATTCTCTGCTTTTTCCCAAGCTTGGAGTTTACCAAAAGGCATTCGAACATCTTGGAAATGCACTGACATATGACCCCACCAACTACAAGGTATGGCGACCTAACCCTGAAAGAAAGAGGGGAGCTTCCTCATGGGGAAACCGAGAAGTGGATTACTATTCCTGTCGCTTGCAGCACTGGGATCAAACTTAGCACCTGGCCCCTGCCAGGCAAGTGTTCTACCACTGAGCTATAACCCAGCCTGAGAAATTAACTTTTTAAAAGAAAAACCGTAATTCAAATGTGGCTCTTCCTAGTCGAAATGTAAATTGTGGTGCCTTGTTCGGTGCCATCCAAGAACACCTGTGTTAACAAGGCTGTGAGCCCCGAAGAAAGCAGAATCATGGTGCTGTGTTGAGATGTCACTTGGGAAACTGGCAGGGCCTCCGCGGCTTGTCAGAGCTGACTGGTAAGGTGACTTGTAGAGGAGCCCCCGTGACTGGAGTCCACAGCTTCTGAGAGATGTGAGTAGGGAGAAGGCAGCCTCTGGGGCTGCGGGGCTGTTTAGCACCACAGATCCAGTTCCACCGAGGGCATCAGGAGCCCTGCTTTACCCCACACCTCCCCTCTCCCTGGACAGCTGAGGGGGCCCAAGGCCGGCACAGCAAGAGTGGGGCCTGGAGTAGAAAATGCAAGTATTTCTGGGGCACTGGGGCCTTTGGTGTGTGTGGAGGGCTGTGGAGGGAAACAAAGGGCGCCTTCCCTGCAGTACTAGCTTCCCTCGCTACTGTAGCAACAGGGAAAAATAAGCTGGGTACAGCCGCTGACCCCAGTACCGTGTCAGGAGGAGCCACAAGCTGGGTCTCGGGGACACCTCTCATGCACGTCTGTCCCCGCTGCAGTGTCTCGGCTGCCTTACCTGCGACTCTGGCAGAGTCTCAGTCCTGTCTGACGGCCTGTGGAGTTGTACTGTACTCGGTGGCTCCTTTCTGCCCCCACCCTGGGGTCGGGCTGGTGACTGACTCCTTGCACGTGTTTTCAGGCCATCCTGGCGGCAGGCAGCATGATGCAGACACACGGGGACTTCGATGTTGCCCTCACCAAGTACAGAGTTGTAGCCTGTGCTGTCCCAGAAAGTCCTCCTCTCTGGAATAACATTGGAATGTGTTTCTTTGGCAAGAAGAAATACGTGGCAGTGAGTGTGCCCTGCCCCTGCTCGTCACGTCATCCCCACGGTGGGTGACGGGATCTGTAGAACTCGTCCTGCTCCCCACTGAGGCCCCTTTTACCACAGGCTATCAGCTGCCTGAAGCGAGCCAACTACCTGGCCCCCTTCGACTGGAAGATACTGTATAACCTGGGCCTCGTCCACCTGACCATGCAGCAGTACGCATCTGCCTTCCACTTCCTGGGTGCGGCAGTCAACTTCCAGCCCAAGCTGGGGGAGCTGTATATGCTCCTGGCCGGTAAGAGGTATAGGGAAGGGGCTCCTCCTTAGGGGAAGAGAGGAGTGAGCACCATAGGCTAATGGCTAGTGCCCCATAGAAGCCATTCCCTGGGAGGCCCTGTAGGGTTCCGGTTTGTGTCCGAGAACTTGAAGCCACAAGAAAGAAAAGATGACAAAAGACCTGCTTATTTTTCACTGGAGGAATTTCACACAGATCCTGCCAGGGTAAATGGAGATCGTCCCTAGTTCAGCTCTTAGCACTCTTTTCTTTTGGCTTTGCTGCGGGGGAGGGGTGCTAGGCCAGTGCTCTCCAGACCCCATTCCACAGACACTGAAGTCAGCCACGTTCCAGAGACTGAGTGTTGGGATGTTAGGCTCTAGGAGGTCCCTGCCTCCACGGCCTACAGCATGTACTTACGAGAGACGTGAGGAATTACTCTTGGTTTTGCTGGGGTTATATAGTTGGTCTATTAATACTGTTTTTGCTACTCTAATAATTGGTATCTGGTAGTTCCAAGTCAAGCTCTAGAGCATGTTATATGGAGTGTGGCTCTATTCTTGAAACTCCATTTATGCCACTCAGCTACTAAAAGTTATCATAAAAATGAGTTAATCAGGCACATACTTTGAATCTTTTAAAAGTACTGACTAGGGCTGGGATTGTAGCTTAGTGGTGGAGCACGTGCCTAGCATGCACAAGACCTTGGGTTTAATCCTCCGCACTGCAAAAAAGAAAAGTGTCAACTAAGTTGACTGGGGAATTGTTTCTCCAAACACTAAACCTACTAAATGGAAACTCAGAAGAGTTTTTAAACGTGGTTTTCTGATCATTGTGGGATGCAGAAGGGACTGAGTGGCTTGAATGCAAAGATAGCCCAGTCCTAATGGGGACACAGAATCGCTGACAGCCTTCACATGGACCCCGCAGGATGCTCTAGGCCTGGGCAGCACAGCTGGCCAAGGCACATGGCTGTGGGGCTTAGTGTCCCTTGCACTCGGCAGGCAGCAGTGTCCAAGGATGTGGTGTGGCTCAATTGGGGAAGGTTGTCAAGGGCCACAGGCCGTGCAGAGGCAGCAGACCCCATCCCTAGCCTGTGTCCTGTCCCTGTTCCTAGAGCTCCTTGAAGGCGCTTTTTGGTGCAGTGCTGCAGGAGACAGGGTGGGCAGGGCCTTTGGAGCAGAGGGTTTCTCCTTGCTTTACAAGGCTTTCAGGAAATACTGATTAAAAATTGGGGAGGTAGCCAAGTGTGGTGGCACACACCTATAATCCCAGCACTCAGGAGGCAGAGCAAGAGGACTGCCATGAGTTCGAGGCCAGCCTGGGCTACATAGTGAGTTCAGGGCCAGCCTGAACTATATACAGTGAGACCCTGTCTCAAAAACAAAAACAAAAAAAAAACTGCAAAAGCAGGAAGCTCAGAAGTTGGCAGCTGACAAGCCAGGGAGAGAGGGCCCAGCTGAGGCACGCAGGAAGAGTTCAGTGGAGTGGTCTCAGGGGGCTGTCTTCTAAGCTGGGCTGTCTGTCTCTGTTGCAGTGGCCTTGACCAACCTGGAAGATACAGAGAATGCCAAGAAAGCCTATGAGGAAGCAGTCCGCCTGGACAAGTGAGCTGCCCAGTGGGGACGGAACCCGGGAGGGCTGGGTGCTGCCTGTGATGGCCCAGCTGCCCTTCACGGCCTGGAAACAACAGGTCCGGCTGTAGAAGGAGCAGGGAAACCCTTTGAGTCCAGTGTTTGGTAATCGGAAGGCCTGTGCTGGCCCAGGCCATGGGTTGCTGGTAAAACTGGAATATTAGACGAGACTCTGGGCTTAGTGTAATGGAAGCCAAATGTTATTTCCAGGAGTTATTCTGTTGGCATCGGCTTCACAGCAGGGTGGCACCCCCTGCCCTTGTGACCTCTGTTGAGGCTAAGGTGTCACACTTGTTACCTGCTTTTCTGGTTAGGCAACTGACTGGTTCTCTCTGGGTCCACATAGCACGTGTTACTGCTGTACGATGGAGAAATCTCTACTTCATCAGTTTCATTTCTCTGTAATAGGAAGGAGCCTAAGTGAGCGTTTGTCGAATCCCTATTGCAGGTGTAACCCTTTAGTAAACCTGAATTATGCCGTGCTGCTGTACAACCAGGGTGACAAGAGGGGTGCTCTTGCCCAGTACCAGGAGATGGAGAAGAAAGTCGGCTTCCTCAAGGACAACAGCTCTCTAGAGTTTGACCCTGAGGTATGTCTTCTTAGCTCCAGGGTCACTAAGCAAACTCTCAATGCGCTTCTTACTCAGCCCCAAATAACCCAAATGCAGAGTTATTATACTGTGGTTCCTTGCAGCATGAATTTGCCAATTAGTTACAGCCTAAGACAAACTTTCCTAGAAGAATATAATAGTAAGGAGATGCAGGCTTCCTGCATTACCTCTTGGTGCTAACGCAGCTTGTGGAGTTGAGGTCTGTCTTCAGAGCTTCCTCCTACTTCCCGAATGCAGACGAGGCAGGGTTTAGTTCCTGCAGCAGACTTGAACTGTTAGGCTTTGAGATGCCGAGCAAGCCTCTTGCCCTCCACTATGGGCAGTCGGTTTCTCAGCTGTTTGAGAATGACTTCCGTCCTCGGATACTAGTACCATCAGATATTCCCAGGAGGAGGAGGGGGTTGTCTCTGCCAATCATGCTTGTGACTTTTCTTCCTCTGCTGCACCAAGATGGTGGAGATGGCTCAGAGGTTGGGAGCTGCTCTCCAGGTTGCGGAGGCTCTGGTCTGGACTAAACCAGTGAAAGAGCCCAAAGCAAAGCACCGGTCCACTTCCACCAGCAAACCTGCTGGTCTCCAGCAGCCTCTGGGCTCCAACCAGGCTCTGGGGCAGGCGATGTCTTCAGCAGCCTCTTACAGGAAGCTCCCCACAGGTAGGAGCCTATGCAGAGCCCCATGGAGACATGCTGAGTGTTGAGCCACTTGTGCCCGCAGAGGTGATAGCTTTGGAGGCGTGTACTCTTCAGACTCATTGTATGGCCAGCTTAGCTAGCACTGGCCAGAGTGGGGCAAGGCTACAGGGTGGCGGGACTGGCACTTGTTTCCCTGGGGCAAGGTGTGTTGCAGATACCGCTACTACTTGGCTTAGTTGTCTGGGCCACTCTCTGCGTCTTTACTGAGTACTTTGTTACTCAGTCCTCGTTTCATTGCTTCGTCATAGGTTGTCACAGCACAGATAATTAGATTTCTTTCAGCCACTCACTGGAGGCAGCTTTGACTGCTGCTTTCTGTCTCAGCTAGGGTTGCCCCTCATAGCTGCTGACACTGTAGACTTGCTCTCCCAGAAACTATGAGGTCTCCTTGTCTTTTTTTTTTTTTTTTTTTTTTTTTTTTTTTTTTTTTTGCGACAAAGCCTCACTATAGAGTTGAGGCTGGCTTGAACTTGCTATGCAGCCTAGGCTGGGCAGTCCTTCTGCCTCAGCCTTCTGAGTGCTGGGATTATAGGCACGAACCACTGTGCACAGTGAGGTTTCCTTTTTTAAATTCAACAGCAAAAATGGTGATCTGTCCTGGAATCATATAATTTAGGGTTTCATCTGTTTCTTGTTACAGGTGGAGGAACAACCCCGCTCACAAAGCCACCATCTCTTCCATTGGAGCCAGAGCCCACTGAGGAAGCAGGTCCAATCAAAGCATCAGAACAAAGAAGAGAGCTGGGCATGGTGGTTCAAGCTTGTCATCCCAGCACTCAGGAGGCTGAGGCAGGAGGATCACCGCTAGTTCCAGGCCAGCCTAGACTATCTAGTGAGTTCAGGGCCAGCCTGCAGTACAAATCAAGACCCTGTCTCAAAAAACTTAAACAGAACAAATAAGAGAAAAATAGGAATAGGTTTTTTTGGGGAAGGCTGCAGCAGATGGAAGACAGTCACACGACCAGGCAGAGTAGAGACTGGTGCCAGAGCATTCAGAGACGATAGAGGGCATGCTGTGATCATGAAGCTCCAAGCCTGTGTAGCCTGCAATGGCGAGGACACAGGGAGAAAACAGCAGACAGCGCCCCTAGGAGGTGGGAACAGGACTTGAGGCTGCATGAGGCTTCTGGAAGGACTTCCTGTCTGGGCTGCCAGCCCCTTCCTTTGGTCAGGGCAGGGCTTCTCGGTAGCCTCGTGATGATGAAACCTTGGTCCAGCTGGGATGACCCTCAGGCTGTGGTATTATCAGTCCAGCAGGCAGACACAAATCTTGGATTAACCCAGTCTAGACAGTCTAAAAGAAATTCCCAAAGGGAATCCAGATCAAGTCTCCATGTTTTCTTTTGCTGAGGCCCAAGTCCAGAGCCGGATCATGGCAGTATAAGTCATAGGTATCAAGGCCTGGCATAACCACCGAGGATTGAAAGCAAATCAGTCTCAGAGGAATTTTGTGTCAGCCGATCTGTGCTACCCCGATGCTCTAATACATCAGCTGTGTGTTCTTCTGAAGATGATGTGTCATTGTTCTTTGGGGAAAGATGCTCAGGTATAAAAGCGAGATCAGGCTGGGGATTTAGCTTAGTGTTTCCAGCGCCTGCCTTGCAAGCTCAAGGTCCAAAATAAAACAAAACAAAAATACAAGAGATCACATTAAACACTTTTTAAAAAACTGACCATTGTCTGCCCTTACCTGTTTCCAAGCCTAGTTTCAGACTGGAGGAGCGTGGAGGTCAGACTCCTGCTCGGTACCAACACAGGCTGAGCAGTAGCAGGGCTGTCTGCTGTGCTGGCTTACACTGCCCTTCAGCACCATGGCTGGAGGGTGGACATGAGCTGTGCGTGAAGTTCTTCACGACCGGGTCTGCTCTGACACCCAGAAGGCAGCCAACCAAGAACACCCCTCTTGGGTCCCCAGATCTGACACATAGCAGGTGCATGATGGACGGGCTTTCGTCCTTAGCAAGTCACTTCTGTGTCAGCGTGGCGGCTGTGCTGTGTGGAATGGGATCAGTTACTAAACCTGGGAAGGTTACTGAACAGGTTTCAGAATGAGAGCGTAAACTCGGAGAGGAGCGGGGAGATGTGAGAGAGGTAAAAGGCTAAAATGGACAGCTGGATGTGGCCTACACCTGCAACTCTAGCACTTGAGAGGCTGAGATGGGAGGCCGGCAAGTTTGAAGCCAGCCTGGGGTACATAGCGAGAACCAGAAAAATCTAAAATCCAAAATTATGGGTTGACTGAATGTGGCAGGTGACTGGAAGAGTTAGAGCACAGGAATATGGGGGCCGAGGGCCCACTGTCCAGTCCTGTTTTAGACATGCCTGTCTGAAATGCTAATCAGTGACATCCTGTGAGACTTGAATAATGATTTTAGGAATGAAATCTGGCTTGAAAGAAAGATTTGGGAGTACTTTGGATAGCTGGAAATCATAGATTTGAAAGGAGTCTCCCAGAGCAAACTAGCAGGAAATTAAGGCAGGGAGTGCTGACGTGGTGGTGCACACCTGCACCCCCAGCACACTGCAAGGTTCAGCCCAGCCTGGGCAACTAGAAAAAAATCTAGGGCTGGAGTATAACTCAGTGCCCTGGCCCTGCATCCAAGCCCCCGGTCCCTAGATGGTAAAAAACCCCAGAGAACCAAAGCAGAAAAGTAAACATTCAAAGGGAGAAACAGAAGAGCCTACGAAGGTGGCAACAGTAGGAGCAAGCATAAAGCAAAAATCAGGACGGTAGCGTTAGTGTTATGGAAGGTCAAGGGAGAAGGGGTTTAGGAGGAATGGTCAGGCTACCGAACACGTCCAATGGGAAGTTACTATTGTTTTATAAAGGTGAGTGCTGAGGCTGGAAGAGGCAAAATGAACTTGCCGTGCCAAGTGCTAGGACCACGATTTGAACCCAGGTCTGGATGCAAACCTCCTCCTCTTCCTGTCACCCAGCAGCGATGCAGCGTTGCTGAGGCTTGGAGACTAAAGAAGAGGAAATTTGGCTACTCTTTCAGAAAGCTTTGAAAAAAAGAAGAGGTTTTCATAGATAGAACTGAATTCATTCCTTTGATCTGAGGACAGAAGAGGGCAGAGGTCCCCTAAGTGAAGTGAAAAGCAGAGAATGCGAGATCAGGGCTGCTTGCCTTCCCTGCATTCGTCAGGGTGACATCTCCCCAGGGTGCACCTGGCACCCAATGACAGCAGTCCGGAAGGGGTGCTTTCCACATCCACCTGGGCTCAGCGCCTTAGGAACTAAGAACGAGGCTGTCCACATCCAGTCCCGTGGACATGGAGAGCTGCAGTTCTTACTGTGGTGAAAAAGTTGCTCTAACTTCTAGTATGGGGCTTGCTCATAGCACAGTTTTTAACAGGAAGGAAAGTGAGACCGAGTTCATAATCAGAGGAAGATGTGTTCAATGGCTTGATCTAGAGGCAGGAAAGCAAAGTATAAATTGGGATTACGATAGTTTCCCTAGTGTGAATAATCTGCAACAATGCATAAGATTCTAATAAGATTACATTAGACATTTAGAAATGGGAAGAAAGGAGCTATGAGGGGAGGAGGGGGTGAGGGGAGGGCAGGGGTAAGGGGAAAAAATGAGAATCAAGACTTCCCATATAGAGGTACATGATCCCAACAATGAATGTAACTGTACTGTATCCCTAAAATGTACCAATAAACTCAATAAAATTAATAAATTAAAAAAAAAATTGGGATTACGGGCCTGTACCACCACATCTAGCTATACCATGTTCTTGGGAAGACTAATACTATTAGAAAAAAAAGTTTCCAAGTGGATCTACAGATTCCTGCCATGATCCCAGTGGTTTCTGGGTAGAAATGCACAAGCTTCTGTGCGTTCTTCTGAAAGTTCTGCGGAAAGATGAAGACCTAGTACATCTAAGGCAACCCTGAACAAAATTACCTCAGGCTTATGGTAATAGTAGTCACATGGCACTGGCGTAAGCCTACACAGATAATAAAACCAGGGTATAAGCAGATTTCACACAGTCACTTGACTTTTTGATAAATGCTCCAAAGCAATGTGATGCAAAATGTCTTCAATAAACAGTGTTGCAACAACTGGACAGCTGTATGGAAAAAACCCTGAGGGGCTTGGGGCAGGAAGACATTGGTAAAAAGTATCAAACCTCAGCCAGGTAGGTGGAATAAATTGAGAAAAGCTATACACAGTGACTATAGTTAAGAGCAGTACATTTTTGGAAACACACCCAAAAGGTCAGCTGATGTCTGTCGGTAAGCTTCATTTAACTATTCTATGATGTATTCAAAAGAACACGTACACAGTGTAGGATTAAGAAGTACAATAAACCTGACCCCAGCCTAACACTATACACACGAAGTAACTCAAGCTGGACACGGTAGCGCACGCCTGTGATTCCCAAACTCAGGAGGCTGAGGCAGGAGGATCACTGTGAGTTTGAGGCCGGCCTGGGCTACATAGTGAGACCCTGTCTCAAAGACAAAAACAGGGCAGGGGATTTAGCTCAGTGTTTCCGGTGCCTATCTAGCAATCACAAGGGCCCGAGTTTGATCTCCGGTACCAAAAAACACGAAAAACAAAAAAGTAACTCAAAATGGATTATAGCCTTACTTGTAAAAGCTAAAGTTACACACTTTCTAGGAGAATATACAGAACTACACAGATCAGAGAGAAAACGCTAGGAAAAATGAGAAGCCACAGACTTGGAGAAGAAAAGAAAATACCCCCAAAAAGAAGCGCATTTAGGATATAACAAAAATTATAGCTTAATAAAAAACCCAAGCAACTAAAGGAAAAAGTGGGCAGAGATTTGGACACTTCACAAAGACACACACAGCTGATAAACGTGTGCAGAAGTGTTATCTGTCACAGGAAATAAAAGCAGAAATTCACTATATAGCCATCCAAATGGCTGAAAGTGAACCCTTTCAACTTAAATGCTGGCAAGAATAAGACACAACCGCAACTGTCACACACCATCGATAAGACCATCAGATGGTCCAACAGCTTTGGGAAAAGGTCTTTCACCAAGAAGTCAAATCTCTAGATTTTTATACTGTCAGAAAACTGACTGTATGTGTATGTGGTTACCGATAACAGCTTTATTCCTAAAAGCATCCAAGTAGAAGCCTCTTATTTACAGTGGAATACTATTTGTTAAAAAAAACCCCCAAAAACCAATGAACTACATGTAACATGGATTAATCTCTAAAACACAATGAGTGAGAGCAGCTTTATACAAAGCACCACATACTGATTTCTATGAATCCCAGAACTGACAGAGCTAATTTATGATGAGAAAATTGGTAACAAGTTAGGGTGAGAGGAGTGGGGACAACTTGGAGGAGCACAGAGGAACGATATGGGTTGCAGAGTCTGTAATGGGCTGGAGAAAAGTAACCATTTGTCAGGACTTACCAAGAGGTACACTTAAAATGCGTGCAGTTTCACTACATGAAATTTTTACCTAGAAAAAGACCAAAAAACAAAACAGTAAATTATTAGCTTTCAAATGACTTAAAACACCTTAAAGAGGACCTAGAAATTGCCTGTTCAACCTAGTAACAACTGCTGATTGCTACACATTGAAATTCTGTGGTTGACCATGCTGAATGCTTTGCACAGCAGTGGCCCACAGGTGCCCACAGGTCCACAGCCCCAAAAGGGCTTGGCACCCCAAGAAAGTGAGGCTGATCAAGGCTAATTTGTCCATGATTGGATGGCACTTGCCATCTCAAAACCTTGCACAGATTTTGGGTTTTCCTGCTGAAGTTACCCTCACCACACTCAAACCTGACAAACTGAGGGACGAAATGCATGAACTCACTTGCTGAGGGTCCTGGTGCGGTGTGTAGTCAGCTGGCTCTTCACCAGGGCCTCCTAACTAGCCTAGCCAGTGCTGTTCTAACTGCTCATCCTCGTATAAAATCACAGGTGGAAACCTCTGCAGCACAGCAATTTAAAGCAAAGGATCAAGAGGCCCAAAGCCCCACCTCTTCAGCTTACTGTGTCTTTGACACCCCGCTGTGGACTCTGGCTTGGAGACAGCTCCAGCTGCGCTCAGCCTACCTGGTGAGAGGTGGCACATTCTGCAGTGAGGTTTGCACACTGGAGTCCTCACACTCTTGGTCAGACATATGTTCCCTGACATCCGACAAACGACCCACTGTACTTACAGCACACGATGCATTTTGATGTTTTGGTGACAGCCACCAATTGGTTTAGCGAGTACTATTAATAGCTCGCGGCTAACTAATAATCTGAAAAAGACCACTCTGGGGGTTGGGACAGTAACTCAGTGGTAGGGAGCCTGCCTGGCATGTCCAAGGCCCTGGGTTTAATCCAGAGCACTGCAAAAAAAAAAAAAAAACCCCACGAAAAACAGAAGAAAAACACAGTGCTTCATACTGACTAAAGCATATTTCTTGAACGGGTCTTTACTGATAAAAGTTAGAGAATTTTTCAGAATACACTCAACTGGGCTGGGGATTTAGCTCAGTGGTTCCGGCGCCTGCCTTGAAAGCACAAAGACCTGAGTTCGATCCCCAGTACGAAAAAAAAAAAAAAAAAAAAAAAAAGAATACACACTCAACTTACAAAAGACCATGAGAACAGCTTAGTATTACTAATAAAGTCTTCAGTTTAAAAGATTTAGAAATGATGGAGCTACTCCAGTTATTAAAACAAATCTTAATCCTTTTTAATAAAAACAGGCTAGAAAGTTGGTTTTAAGTTATTAATGAAACTTGAAGGGAGAAGGGTAAACTGGCAGCTAGAGATTTCCTTAATGAGCTACTTGCTTTCCAGTGCAAAGTGTGCCATTCTCTAGATTTAAATTTTCTCTGGAAAAGAGTAATCAAATAAAAAGCTTTAGGTAGCTGTGAGAGTCCAGGAGCTGCTCTGTGGCCTTGCACGAGACTGGGCTGCCACCAAGCTGCCCTCCACCAGATGCCACACCCATGCTGTCCTCTGAACAAACTGCCACTCCCTGTGCTTTGAAACTGCTCAGCTTCAAGTCAGCTACTTAATAGTCATGGCTTCTGTCATCTTAAGCCTCAGCAGATAGCGTGAGGGGACTGCGTGACCCGATGGCAAACACAAGATCAGAGTGAGGTGCAAACAAAATCAATTACAGACAGACTTAGGAGTCCTGAAATGTAAATTGTTTTTAATATTCTTAAAAGTACACAGAACTCTTTTTGTTTTCTAAAAAAATAAATATATACCATGACAAAGTTATTCATGATCCCGGAGCTCTTTTGAGGTCAAACTTTAATGGATGCGTCAATGACAACATAAAACATACATGGTCTGTTACATACAGATGTACATTCCAGTTGTAAAAGCAAACTCCTTTGAGGCTCAGAAAGAGTAAATATCACGCTTCTGCTGCGGAAAGCACAGCCAAGCTGGGTGGGAGGCTCAGTGGCCCAGCCACGGCATCCTCCAATCCAAGGAGCTGAGGCAGGAAGGCACCGTCCCTCTGCCCATCCCTCTGCACACAGGGCCATCCAGGCTTCTGGACACCTGCACAGTGACCTGCCTGGAGGCTCCCTGAGGATCACAACTACCTTTCTCCTGCAACCACAAACCACGAGAGGGACTGTTTTGTCCCTACCTATGGCTCTGACCTAGGTCTGAGAGCAGAAGACCAAGAAGGTGTGCTCACTAAATATTGTCACTGACACATTCATGGGAACCGTGGCTGCCCATGGGCAGTGAGCTGAGACCACAGCACCTCTCACCAGGCTCCTCAGGCCCAGGACTCAGGGAGGCACTGGGCACTTCTCCAGTGTGCGGGGACAGGGTGCTTTTTCCGCCTGACAGGCTCTCCAGACTAAAGAAGTTTGGCTTAAAATACTTGATGACACTGCAGAAGTTGGAGACTTGGGAATTGAAATTTTTACTCCTGCAACATACAACATAAAAAACAAAAATCCAGTCCTATTAGTAGAGGTTAAAACCTGACATGTTCCGACGGGCCTGCCAACAGGCTGGAATGTATCTGCACAGCTGCACCTGCTGTTGTTTCTTTGGCTGTCTCTCATCAGATCTAGAACTAACACCCTCAATCCCGTTTTCCAAGCTGCGTCCTTCCCGCGGTCCTTCAGTCGGCCGGTGCTCAGACCCGCTACTCACCGCCTTCCTAAGACTGAGGGTGGACTTCTGAGTAGAAGAGTCCTTCCGCCGAGATGGCGTCCCCGAGGCCCACAGTTCGAACTGGGTCTTTGCACACCAGCACTGGCGTGAAGTAGAAGGAGATGCCTTCGCGGTGCCACTCCACCACAGGCTCGATCGGGTTCAGCACGATCCTGGAGCCCGCTTCTGAGTGCGAAGTCATGAACTCTCGGGGCGCCCTCAGAGACACTCGGCTGGCGTCGATGGTTTCAGTGGCACAGGCTTGGGTTCCGGCCACGCGAGCTCCAGCGGCCACGGCTGCCAGCTGGTTGGCCCAGTGCCCGTCCACCGTGGCCAGGATGTGGTAGACCAGCGTGTGGAAATGGACCCTGGTGAGGTCTGAGGCTCGGCCTTTACTCCTCCCGTGCTCCTTCAGGATCCAGAAGAGGATGTCACTGACCATGCCCACATCAGGAACACCATTCCAGGAGGACAGAGAGGCATGAGGTCCGGACGCTGACTGGCTGAGAAACAGCAGCTCCTGTTCATTCAGCCCGAGGGAAGTCACTGCAGGAAAGACCTGCTAACAGAAACAAGGACAGGTCTCTCCTGGTGGTCACATCCAGATTCTGACAGCTCGGGACACAGCCACTAGCTATGTGACAGGGATGCCGGCATCTTCCTCAGCCCTGAACCTGCCTCTAACTATGGCCACCTTCAGGCTCACTTGGGACAAACCTTGAGGTTGCCGTAGCACCCAAGTTTTCTGTCTTGTGTTATGGTAATTAAGGGCGAAGCATTTCCTCCTGCAGCACCCAGCTTGGGCCCTTGCATTAACAGCAGATTCTCAGAAGGGGCAGGTAGAGTTCCCAAGAAATGAATTAAATATTTTTAAAAAGTGAAGATACTCAACCTCAAAAAGAGAAATGTAAATAAAAACTACACTGACAAACAAACACTATGAGTGAACCCAATGGTCAGTTTTGGATGCTGAGTGACAGGGACAGACTTTTTAAAAAGTGAAGATACTCAACCTCAAAAAGAGAAATGTAAATAAAAACTACACTGACAAACACTATGAGTGAACCCAATGGTCAGTTTTGGATGATGAGTGATAGGGACAGACCAGTGTGGGTGTCACCTGGCCATAATGAGGTGGCCTCCCCAGTGAGGAGTGTTGACAAAGACAGTGACAGGGACATATGGCAGCTCTCTGTACAGTCTCAACAGTGCTGTGCGGAAAAAAAACTGCCTTAAAAAATAAAGTCTATTTCAAACGCACACACACAAAAGGGGCTGAGCTGGGCATGTAGCCGAGTGGCAGAGTGCTTGCTCAGTATGTTTGAGGTCTTGGGTTCTAACCCCATCACCTCAGCGCTGCAAAAAAGGAAAAAAAAAAAAAATCAACAAAAACTGCCATTTTTCAACTGCCAGACTAACACAAATAATAAGTTTTTAATCACATAATCATATTCTGGTGGCAAGGTTATGAGGAAAAAAGCACTTAACAGTTTGTGAGCGGGAAGTAAACAGGTGATTCCCATCAAGAGTAATCCCAAGACTTAGAATTGTTCTCTTATGCTCCAATTCAGCAGTTCTACGTCTGAGATTTTACCCTAAACCTGTACTTGCTCACAAGCAAAACAAAACAATGTGAGACTTACTCACTGCAGCACCCTATGGGAGAGCAAAGGCAGTGACACCCAAGATGCCCCGAGGGCCCAGGGCAAATGGTCTGAGCAGCACCCACAGCTGCGCTCCCACTCTGTGGCTGCGAGAGCCTCAGGGTGCTCTCCGAGTACCGGCTCAGCAGTGAGGAAAAGCCAAGGGCAGAGCTGGAGTCAGTGTGGTACTCGGCTCTCGCTGGGTATGCAGGCACACACAAAAGGGTGTATTCCCACCCTTCTTCTACGCATCAAACTAGAGAGAGCCAAATGAAGCTGATAAGGAGGACCCCAGGGTGGGTACCAGTGGAGGAAGGGGAGATAAAGGGAGGAGGGAGGCTTCACTGTGTACCCTCTGTGTTCTGAGCCATCCACCGCCAATGAACAGGTTAAATAACAGCGAAAGGAAAGGTCAAGAAACTGAGTCATAAAGCGAGTAGCAGAACTGGTGCGACAACCCAGGTGTCCAGAGCCGTGTCCTGTGCCCCACTTGGATTCGTCTGAACCAGAGGCAGGACACGAGTTCCTAGGTGCCCACTGTGAGGCGCTCGAGGTCACTCCAAGTTTCCTGACTGTGCACTTCCTAGGGTTTAACTGACGGCAGCTCACCTGGGCTTTCAGTTTCCCGCTCAAGTTCTGCCAACACCATTCACTTCCAACTCCCCATTCCAGAGGGAGAAATGTGACTCACACCCTCTTGCTTGGCTGCACTGCTGTGTGGGGGACAGGACCACCGCCTCCTCCAGGACCCAGGTCCGGGTGACACAACACCCACACCTCAGCAAGCCATCCTAGAGCCCAGACACAGTCCCAGGGAACCAGGCCAGGAGGGTTACCTGCTGCACGATGCTGCTCATGAGCTCCCTGTTTGTCATGCTGGCCAGCTCCAGGTGAACTGGAACCCCAGTGGGGATGTCAGCAATGGAGGTGACGACCTGCAAAGGGAAGAGGACAGTGCTGCTGTCAGGACAGGAGAAAGCCAGGTAGGCAGGAAGGAAAGAGGTCTGAGCGCTCCGGTGCCTCCTTGTAGCCTCCTTCTCGGCATCTTTATGAGCTGCAAGGACTGTGGGTCCCCACCACCTTGTGGGCCATGGGCACCTTCCCAGCAGAGAACTACACCCTGAAAAACCAGAGACCAGGGGCCGGGGATTTAGCTCAGTGGTTTCGGCACCTGCTTTGCAAGCGCAAGGACCCAAGTTTGATCCCTGGTACCAAAAATAAATAAATAAATTAATAAACAAATGAACAGAAAAACCAGAGGCTAAAGAACTTCCCCTGCCTGGACGTACTGCTGGCCTATTCCTGGAGTCTAAACCGAGCGGCCGGCTCCGAATGCCGGACAGATGTGCAGGCACTGCAGCACAGGGATGTGACACATGACGGGACAGGTAACACAAAGGACACAAACTACAGAGCCTGCAGCTTGCAGCCACACTCAGTTTAGCACAGGAGGCAAAAGCGTGGGCGAGACGCTGTCCTGCCCTGCCCTGCACAAGCTGCTGCCATTTGTCCTCCAGAATGGGACCTAAGGCGGCACAAGCCACACAGGCTGAGGCAGGAGCCTGCAGCAACACCTGCTGAGGGCACTAGAGTCCCCGACAGTGCCGTTACCTCCAAGAGTCTCTTCTTCTGGAGCTCCTTGCTCTGTCCCTCCATCATGTGCAATCCAGAGAGGACCACCAGGTCAGGCTGGAACTCCTCCAGGCTAGACACAAACACCTCCAGCATATTCATGGCCCCGTTGGAGAGGTCGTGGGAGAAGATGAAGCGGTTGGCGTGGGGAGCTTTAAACTGGCCCCACTCCTCCCCTAGAAGAGCCCAGTTGACACAACAGGAAGAAAAGGAAGAGGCTTTCAGTCTCCTTGCTGTGGGGAGCCCAGGTCCCGAGCAGGATGTGGTGGTCTGGGGTCAGCACGGCACTGTGTCCAGGACAGTGGAAGGTAAACACACCCATCAAAAACTTAAACCCTAATCCAACAAAGAAACCAAAACCTAACAGCGGCTTCGTGCACCTTTTTCTTAAGTCGTGAGTACCTTTTGAGTTCAAGGAGCCCTCTGACCACTGAGCTCTCAACCGGATGCAGTTATGCACCCTGCCATCAGACACACTGCCTCTTCCCAAGTCCTGTCCCCCTCACAGCAGCAACCAGCACCCCATTTAGCTAGAATCTGGGAAGGCCGAGTCCCAGGGGCCACACTGCCTGCCTCCTCTATTCTGCCCCCTGGTGGTTTCTGGTCACTTCTGCCTGAGGAGTACGCAGCAATGACTGTCAAGATTGATTCTATTTCTTCTTCAAATGTGCAGCCTTTCTCAGAGGACTCTCCTTTTCTCAGGTAGACTGCATTACCTCCTTCCTGGGCCCCTGTGGGCCCCTGTGAGGGGTTGGCACACACTCGTTCCTTCAGGGGCCCGAGCTAAGAACACAGCCCTCCTGACTTCCGTCATCCTGTCCCCACTGCCTCACCTAGCCCCTGGAACAGCTGTGTACGCATTAGCAAAGAGCACTGAGAGAACAGGGAACAGACTGATGACCTAAAGGACCGTGACAATGAGAAACAGAACTATGAACTCCAAACCCCACATTTCTCAAGTGAACAGGACTGCACGATGGTGAAAATGCATGATGTAAGATTCTCCCCACAGCAACACGGTCCTAGCTTGCAGCTGGGACTGCGGGGAAACACGGCCTCGTGTAGCCCAGGGGGAGAGCGCCACACAGCAACCCAGGCAAGCCTATTTCTTCAAGGAGCAACAGAGGCAAAAACCAACAGGTTTCTGCAAGCCAAGGACAAGGGGAACTATGGCAAGCTGTTCACTGGCTGCACAGAACACAGGACTGATGGGGCGGGCTGAGAAGCAAACAAGTTGGAACCCAGCCTGGGACAGTGCTTCCTGCCCCTCTGCTCACAAAGCTCTGTGTGTACCACTGCAAGCAGTCTCTCTTCTCAGTTTAGCATCCTGCCCTTCCCTCAGCTAGGGCAGCAAAACCCCCAGGCCCAGCCTGCAAATGAGCTGCCCTGGGGCAGGCTGGTGGGAGAGAGAAAAACAAGCTGACACAGCCTGTTGGAAAGCATCTGTCTCAGTTAGGGAGATGGGTCAGAGTGCTGTTAAGAAAGCTGATCCGAGGCCGGGCCACTACACTACCTCGCCCTGGGACCTATGAAAATGTAAGTTTGCCTAAAGCCTAATGGAAGCCCACTACCTCGTACAAAGAAGACTAAGGCACAGCGAAGACAAACTGAATGCAAGGCTTATGAATCCAAGGAGGGAGCCAGTTCTTTCCCAGCTCAGCTTCTCCACTCCACACAAGGCATAACTGGCAAATACCATAGCAAAGAAGTTGGGTGTGGTGCGCTCATCGCTAATCTCAGCACCTGGGGGCCGAGGCAGGAGGATTGCTGCAAGTTCGAGGCCAGCCTACCCTATACAGTGAGTTCATGGCAGCCTAGAATAGACAGACCCTCTCTCAAAAATAACAAAGACAGAACACAACAGCGAAGTCTTCTTGAAGACTTGCGTCTCTCCACTGAGCAGTAGCCACCAAGGGACAGAAACCAAGAATCACAAAGGTGCCCAGTTCATGCTGCAGATGCCAATGGAGGCGTCCGAAAGAGAGACCGGGCCCGAGAGCAGCAGCTCTGAGCTACTGCAGGCCCTTCTGGGCAGCGAGCAGGTTCATCAAGTTGCTCACAGTGCCCCGCCCTCGCCACCACAGCAGGAGGGAAAACTATCGATCCTATTTCCCAGGAGGCGAAACGGAAACAAACTCAACATGTGCGCACCATGAAGTGTGAACTACATTCTGCAAATTCTGCCTCTGATGTCCAGACCTTGCCTGTCCTCAATTGCCATCGAATGCTAGTGAGTACCCAAGGAGAACCGGAAGCCAGCCATGGCTCCTCTCTGTGCTTTCAAGCAGCATGTCCTCCCATGTGACGTGACAGCTAATCACTCTAGCAGGTGAGGTTTTCTTAATCGTCTCATTTGGAAGCAGTTCACCAACGAGCATTATTATTCTGTCTGCATACTGGAGACTTTAACATGGATTAATAATGTGTTGAATCAGAAACCCAAAAGTCTGAGTTCTTAGCAGGGGAAAAGATACAGCAGGAAATATATCCAGGTGTCAGAGTCTTGCAGGATTCAGATCCCTAGTCTTCAGATCACACAGAATCTACTGGGGGTGGTTCATTGGGTCTGGATTTATAACACTGAAATGCTACATAATGGAAAATAACATAAGTAATGTTAAATATGGCACACTCCCATTCACATGGTAAGGCAAAAATAAAGTGCACCCAAGAAAGCTCGATCTCGTGGGGAATCGGGCCAGAGAAGCCCAGGGCAGAATCCAACAGAGTTAAGCAAATGCTACCTGCCCTGCTCTCTTCTTTCATAAAGGAAAACTTTACAAATGTGTGTTTAATGCCTTTCCTTTTATTCAAGATGCTTGTTTTCCTGGGGCCTGATTTTCCTCAGGTTCAGGCCAGTTCTGTTTGCTGACCTAAGAGTTTTTGTCAGGGCTGTGAAACTGCATCGTTTTCCCTGGAAACCCTGGTACCAACAGCTCTGAGAGCAGCGGGCCAGAAACAAACAGGAATATGTGACCTCCCAAAGATGAATGTCTGCAAGTCACACCCCGGGCTGGGAACACACAAACCCGAGGACCAGTCCTCTCACCACACCGTCTCACTTCCCGTACCTGCCTGATACTCCAGAATGAGGTGGAACTCGTCCACTTCCTGCAGTGACTCTGGTGGGACAAACACGTTGTCATCAAGAAGCTCATGGAGCTTTGGACCAACTGGACCACAAAGGAGAACCTGGAGATAAGCAGGAGGAAGTAAGCATACCAGGAAATCCGGGCCTTTTCCCACAGAAAAGCAGTCAGCTACATTCAGGCCAGTTCCATTCATTTCAAAACTGCTGGAATCCAATCTTTACCGCTGGAGATATGCAGGAAAGGGGCCTCTGGAGGGCATAGCCACAAGTACCCAGAAAGGAGAGAACAATACAAGACCCAAGTCACAGTCCTTAGGTACTGATGCAAGGGCCGTGGTCCATCCTCTCCGCTCTGGGATGTTTTCGTCTCCTAGAATTTACACGTTGAATCCCCACTCTAACAGTATCTGGAGCTTTTAGGGCATTTAAAGATTGAATGTGGTCCTAAGAAAGGGAGAAAGGGAGATCACACACACACTGGAGAAAGGTCACGGGCCAACACTGGGACATGGCACTGCATCCCTGTAATCCCAGCCCTTGGGAGGCTGAGGCAGGAGGATCGCTGTGAGTCCAATGCCAGCTTGGGCTACATAGTGAGTTTAAGGGAAAAACCCCATTTCAAAAAAACCCCAAAACAACCACCTCTCCCTAAAAATACTAAAACCAAAACAAGCAAACAAAAACCCTAAGAGAACAACAGGGTTCATCCTAGAAATGCAAGGTTGATTTAACACTGGAAAGTCAATGCAATTATCCCAAACCGGACTAAAGAAAAAACATACAATCACTTCACTAACTGCAATAGCATCAAAATCCAACACCTCTTCTTAATTCCTGGCTAATCACACAGGCACACCTTCTCTAGGAAACGCTCTCACATGCTAGGCAGCCCTCATAAGCAGATTTTTAAAAGGCACTGCTTCTTGCTTGGCCTCCATTTCCCCATTCTACTCAATCTGCTTGTGCAATATTCACCATGGTCCATTCCTGAGATCCATTACAGCTCTGCTCTTAAGAGCATGGACGCTGGAGCCAGCTCTACTCGTCAGTAGCTGTGTGACCTTCCTCGTTCTCTCTGGTCTCAACTGAGGATAATAAAAGTGTAAGGAGTAAGTGAGCATCCACCCACCCAGAACAGTGCCTGGAAATAGCTGGAGCTATGCAAGTGTTAGCTCTTACCGCTTCTGGAAAATACCTCCTTACTCCGCACCAGGAAGAATTCGGGCAAATTCATCTCTAGAGTGGTGTAGAGTGGCAGTTACAGCCGAGCGTGACACTGCTCTGTCACTTACGAACTGTTATTTCATGGGGCACGTTCACCTGTGGACCTCTTTAAAATCCTAGAATTGTTTCACCGTTGTGAGGATTGAGATAAACCTTTTCTCCGACCAAGGCTACAAAGTCTTTCAATCAAACAGGTCCCAAACCCAGCTTCTCCAGAGACCAGGCACAAATGCTGGTCTCAGTCAGGGAGGTCAACAGGAAAACTCAATCTCCACTCACTGACGATTTCCAGGGTATCACCCCCCAGAGGTAAGAATTACTGTTCCGGGTGTGAGGGAGGCTCTGAGGGACCCAGGAAAACTCCCAGATTCTGAGAGGAGGGCCTGGGCTTTCTCTAAAGAGCTTATGATTGAACTCTTCTTCTTCTTCTTGTTTTTTTTTTTTGCACCAGGGATCAAGTCAGGACCTTCTGCTTGCGAGGCAGGCGAAACAACCAACCACTGAGCTAAATCCCTGCCCCCTACCTCTTCTTATTCCATTAGCTGGTAAAACTTCCAAAGGTCAGCCCTGCAATTTCTAATCTTTACTTAGAAGTTAATCACCGCTTATAAGGACAATGGCTACAAAATCGATTTTACACTCTAGTATATCCATCCGCTGTGTATAGTGCGGTTCTGTATGCATTTTCTCCCTGAAACTATGGGTCATCTGTGCATCACTGAGTTCATCTTTGGGTTCTGACCCAAATTCCTATTTTTCCGCTGTCCCCCCAAACCTCAGCACTGGTCACGGTTCCCTACTCCGCTGTCACCACCCACTGCCACTCTGCACTTCTCCAGTTCACTCGGCCCGGAACCACGTTAAATCTCTGTTCCCGCCCTGGTGGCCACTCCAGTCCACCCTTAATCACGCCCAGGGTGACAGCAATAAGCCCTGTACGGCCCCCCTGCCCCACGGACCTCATCAGCTCACAGCAAAAGGAACTGCTCACTCCAGTAAGGGCGAACCTTTAGAGATCGAGGGCCCAACCTGTAACCCAAAGCCCACTTATTTACCGCAAGGTGCCAACACTGCAGTTATACCTAACGCTGAGGTTTTAGTTAAGAAAGAGCTGTTATCTGATGTTCGGCTGCTGGGGCAAGATGGCCCGTGTGCTGACAGGCGGCACACGCACCACAGTCTGCCCCTCGGTTTTTGAGCACAGCGATCAGCTTTAACTCTACTTAGACAAACAGCTGAGACTTAACGACGCTGCTCTACTTCCTCCCATTCGGAGGCTCTCATCTTCACCCTGTGGATCCAGGATGAACAACACCTCAGTGCTGGGAACCGATCCAGGGACACACACTCCTTCCATTACACCCCCTGCTTGTCAGCCCATAGCCGTGTCAGGGTCCTGTGTCCTGTGGCGTCCTCACGAGCTATGAACAACTATCTCTCGTGTCCTTGCATAAAAGGCCAGGGCGACAGCGCCATCTACAGGCTGCTGCGAGGGTCAGTCGGGCAGCGGCAGGCTCAGAGGACAGGTGCAAAGCACCCTTCCCACTGCCCCCTGCTAACACTGCGCTGCCTCCTGACAAGGGCTCAGGGGCTGGCCTGTGGCAGTGAGAAAGAAATGGAATCAAACCCCAAATATTCGTTCTTGCTACTAAAATTATTAAAACACCAGCAAGAGCCACAAATTTTAATCAGGAAATTTCACCTACCTTCAAGTCTGAGTTGGCCGCAAATTTCTGTCCAATTAAAGCTGCATTTCCTCCTACATAGTGCTGTAAAAGAGTTCAAGGCTATTAGCCAACAATTTAAACAATTTCTTTACCCAAGCTTTGTAATTTCTAATGTTGCAGCCCAGTTTTCCCAAAACATATTTTTCCCTTCATAGCTTTATGCTACATTAATTGCTGGTGGTGTAAGCTGCTCCATTTTCTTTCTTTCTTTTGTTTGAGACAGGGTCTTGCTTTGTAGTTCAGGCTGGCCTTGAACTTGCAGCGATCCTTTTGCCTCAGCCTCCCGAGTACTGGGATTACAGGCCCAGCACCACCACACCTCGCTCCCCAAAACATTTTGAGGTGACTTTTAACAAAGGACACAGACTACATTAATAAAACACAGAAGCAGACAGTGAATAATGTGAAGAAAATAAATATGCTAACCATAAATCAGTAAGATTCCTTATTTGTAGAACAGATTTGGCTGAGCTTCCAGGCAGCCGGAAGAGGTAGAGAAAACATGAAAGGTGGGGCTAGGTCTCATCTTCCAAAATGAGTGCATGCTTATGTCATTCTCCTTAAAAACCAGTCAATAAACACTATTTTTCGGTGCTGGGGATTAAACCCAGGACCTTGTACATGGTAGAAATACACAGTACCATTAGACTATATCCCAGCTCAAAAACCTTTTTGTTTCTTTTGAAACAAGGTCTTGCTAGGTAGCACAGGCTTGCCTCAAGCTTGTGGCCATTCTCCTGCCTCAGCCTCCTGGGATTACAGATGTGTGCCAACACGCCCAGCTTAAAAATGAGGCCCCACAGGCCTTTTTTTTTTTTTTGCCTGATCCAAGGTTTCCTTTCTACTTCTATCCCCTGTGTGCCCTGTCCACACCTGCAGCACAGATCAGGATGCCCCCACCCCAACCGGTTCACTCCTCAGCACTCGGCTGCGGTGCCGCCTTTTCTTCCTCTCCCCACTGACCACTCAGCCTCCCCTGGTGCCCTCTCCAGATAGGACAGGTCCCTTCTGACCCCCTAAATCTCCCCTTATCATCTGGGTAGGGGCCTGGATGCTGGGGGGCAGGACTGGGGTCTTCTTACAATAAACATTCAGGAAGTGTTTGCCACTACATTTGGAGAAAGGAAGAAACACACTGATGGGCTGGGAAATACAAAAGCCTTCTGTGGCGGGAATTCTCAAAGGTAACGGCCCTAAACAACCCACTGCTCAGCTGGACAGAGGACCTGAGCCTGGTACTTGTTCCGTCCTTAGGGATTGGGCCGGTGCCTTGGGAACCTACAGTAGGAAGCAGGTTACTGTTGATTCTAAAAGCTACGAAGCCAAGTCTGCAGTTTTCCCCAGGCACATCCTCCACCCCTGTCCTTAGCCTGTCGGTGGGCCTTGACTTAGCAGCCAATTCCATGACCTCACCCCAGGGCTGAGAGCGGACAACCCTCTGAGTGCAGGTGGGATGGGGACAGGTTTCTGTAGACAAATGTGTAACTTTCTACGACAGGGAGGCTGAAATCGGGCCTTTTAATGTGGCAGGCTTAATTACACTTTATTTAACTATGATGACCAGCAGAATTTACTAAAAGCTCTGGGAGGAAATATTAAGACATCTACAAAAACGTATACCAGATTTTTCCTATAATGGCCATTGTCTTTTACAGGCCACCCGCCTGGGCTTAAGGGAGTTCGAAAAGGCACCAAACTTGCGGTGTCAGGAATATGTACTAAGGTAGCACACTTTACGTTTTACAGTGTTAAGAAATGACTTGGACCAATGAAAAGTGAGTTTCTGAAGAATTTTAATTTCATTGTGAAACAGAAGGCAGAATCTAAGAGGAGAACACAAACAAAGGAACACCATAATCACAGACTCTGAGCAGCAAATGCATCATGTTAGAACTATGGAGATTCTCGTCCATTAGCCAGGCATGTGGGGCACACCCAGAACCCCAACACTAGGGAGGCTGAGGACTGCTGCGAGTGTACAGTGGCTGGGGCCACAGAGCGGCTAACCAGAGGGCCTATCGCTAAGCAGCTCAATAAAAGATGTTCCAGCCAGTCCTGGGCTCTCATCTGTCTCTCCAGGCTGCCAGAGTCTCAACCGAACCTCCCCAGCCTGAACTGGTAAAAACATCAGCACCGCCTCTTACTCCACTGAGCCTCCAGGAAGCACCTGGACCATTTAGGCTCCGGGGTGTTTATCTCCAGCAGGCGGTGAGGGACCACCGACCACCGACGTCCCTCCTGTCATCTCCATGCCCCATCCTATACTCCAGCAGTTCTTAATACCGCTGCAGGCCAACAGTCACCAGGAAGCCTGCTGGCTGGCAGGTCCTGGCCCCCCCCCACCGTCCCTGCTAAGCTGGCCTCTGGGAGTCGGTGCAGGCGTCTCTGCACAGCCCCTCCACTTGGGTCTGCTGTCTGCACAAGCATAGGAACCACCCATCTAGCCCTGGTTTTTTGAGACAGGGTCTCACTTTGTAGTTGAGACTGCCCTGGAACTCACTATGTAGCCCAGGATGGTCTCAAACTCACAGCGATCCTCCTGCCTCAGCCTCCCGAGTGCTGGGATTACAGGTGAGCACCACCATGCCCGGCTAGCCCTAAGTTTTTAACCAGGGCCCATTCTGCTCCCCTTCTCTTCCTTACCCAGGATACGCTGGGCAATGTTTGTCTGGCACAGCTGGGGAAAGTGTGCATTGAGCAGAGGCTGGAGAGCTGCTGAACATTCCCCACTGCCCAGGTCAGCCCTTGGCCAGAGGACCACCACCCCACAAGGCCGATCGTGCCCCTGGTTGGGTCAGCACCCAGCCTGCCTTCTCCCACACAATGGCCAACCTACAGAACTCGGCCCCAGTGAGGTGACTGCAAGTTATCACGAACAAGCAATACAAGCCACCCAACCAGTTATGAGTGGACAGTCCCCTGGATAACATGAAGAGGGGGATTTATTTAGGATTTTTGAGACAGGGTATCCTATATACTGGCCTCAAACTTGCCACATAGCCAGGCTGGCCCTGAACTCACAGCAATACTCTTACTCTGGCCTACTGTGCACTGGGAAGACAGGCAAGTACCACACAAAGAGGGAATGTAATGGGTGAACCACTACCAAAATTTTAGTAAATATGCTTAATTTTGCTGGCTGAATCAGACTACAAACAGGAGAATTAAGAAAATATCAGCTACAGCTTTACAAAAAGGCACATCACAGAATTGGATTTCCAGTAATCGCCGAAGCTGTCTGTAGGAGTGCCAGACCAGACCTCCTTTCCCACCCTGTCCCAATTCCCTGTGGGTGGACGACAGACCTGGGCTCCGGAGAACTCTGACGCGACATGGGCGATGTCATGAAAGGTTTCCTTGTCACTGAAGAAGCGCTCGGCGGCTGCTCCCTGCCCCAGGAAGTGCACAAAGGCTTCTTCCAGGTCTCTCCTCGAGTGCAGAACGGCGTGGTCGCGTCCGCTCCTGGGACTCAGGCCCAGGGCCTGCAGGAGCTTCACGCCAGACAACACCACGTCCACGCATGCGTTGACTCTGGAGCCGGGGAGAGGACAAGTGAAGGGTGTGGGCGCAGGGAGATTCCTCAGAGAGCCGCGCGCAAACAGGAAACAGCGGAGATGCCGCTGCCCCTGCACTGGAAAGGAAGCTATCAAGACAGAAGGAAAATGACTTTAACTAGACGTACAGTGGACCCTTGACTGAATTACTCCGTCAGTTCCTGAGGGCTGGTTGTAGCTAAGTCAGTACAGCTGAGATCTGGATGTTTACCTGGGTACACGCTATAGATAACAAGAGGCAGATCAATTTTCCATTAACCTAATTATCCCAATTGTTCCTGTGTCAGGTGGTTGTAACTGAGGGCCCACTGTACTAGGATCACAACACAGAACCCCTTTTCAAGAGTTTGCAGAACTTTCCTATTAAAAAAGAACAGGTGCTTAGCATTGTAGAACAGAGCTATCATGGTCAAAAGACTTTGGCCAAGGGTGGTGGTGCCTGTTTTATAATCCCAGCACTGGGGAAGCTGAGGCAGGAGGATCACTGTAAACCTGTGCTACATAATGAGTTGAAGGCCAGCAGGAATTACATAGTGAGACCGTATCAAAAAAACGAACAAAAAAATGTAGCATTTCTGACAAAATGCTTGCACAAACTTTCTAGATTTGTGACTTAAAATTCAAGTTATTTTAATTTCTCGGAGTCTTAGTTTTCTCACATCTAAAATGGCCATTGATAGGAGTGCCCAACTCACAGAGCTGTTGAGAAGATAAAGTGAATGAAGTGAATTTGCCCCAAATGCTTGGGCAAAGTAAGCAAAACAGCAGTTCTGTTCACAAGCTAAATAGCTACCTTCCCTCCACAGACAGAAGAGGATGGTGAGAAGATACCCCAAATACTCAGCACCCAAACACTCCCAGCTGGAAGCCTGTAACACGGAACAGAGCCCACAGCAGCTCAGCACCGGGCAGGTGTTCAGAGGACCCACCTGGAACCTCAAAGGGCTGGTTAGAAAGCAGCACTGATGCCATCTGGCTGGCTCCACGGAAACGAACGACAGGCCGAGACTGTATGGAACCGTCTGTGTCTGCATCAAGGTCTGTTTCTCTGCTGAAGTTCAGCCCCCTTTAAACTGAGAGGCTAAATAACTAAGGGAGCAAGATGAGGTCTTCCACTCCCACCCGTGGTCACCTTTACCTCCGCCTACAGATGTCACTCTTGCTACTGCGGCTGATAACCATACAGGCAGCTCCCTGCCTCTGAGAAAAGCAAGGTTCACAGCAGGTCATCCGAGACGGCCCCTAGTGACAAGGGTGGCCAGAGTCAGAGAAGGCCGCACGGTTAGATTTGAGCGTGGAATACATGGTTACAAGGCTTCCTGTCTGGTCCCCTTCCAAAATCTCTCGGTTTGGACGTTAATACACTACATTATTCATGGTGACAAAATGAGAAGAGGAAGGCAATGAGATAAGGAGGAAGAATTTTAATTGGACGCCTTTCTAGTTTTCACAAGCATGGATCACTCTTGTATTGTTACGCCAAAAACTAGAACCATCACCTCTAGTTCTGCTAAGATGAAGCAACAGTTTGGCTCTGAAAAGATGAGAAGGGGGAAAGTGAGTCTTCACAATTCACATGGAAAAAAGTAAAAGGAACCGAGTTCAGCACGTTTTACAACACAAGAAAATCCCAATGGAACTAGTTTTAAGTTAAAATTAAAAAATAACGGAGGAAAAACTTTCACCCCTCCCTAATCAGGAATCCTAGGGGAAAAAAGCAATCTTATAAGGAAAAAACAATTATCTGATAACTTCCCCCCCTCCAACCCAGGGCCTTCAATACACTAGGCAGGCACTAGCACCGAGCGACATCCCTAGCCCATTTGCTACTTGTTTTTTGTTTTTGGCTTTTTCCCCCGCAAAGTGTCCATTTTTATAATTTTTATTTCTCCAACACAGCAACTGTCATGGCTATGCTGTTTTAGCTTTCAACTATGAAATCCTATAAAAATAAACCCAAGCATATACCATGACTTGATCCGTATGAAACTGAAGACTTTCTAGCTATTTCAAGGAATTTAGTTACTGAGGTAACTAAACAAAATGCCCCAACAAGAGGGTGCATGCTTATACCTGGAGGTTCAACCTAATGATTCATCTGACAAATTTGTATTCCCCACCCTCCCTCCACTCACCTTGGAACAAAACACAAGAACTACTTACAGTCAAGAGGAAATAAGGTCAACTGACCTTGCCAAAAATAAGAAATAAAAAAATAAAAAGGCCAGCTCATTTCTGAGCGGATGAACGCCCTGGAGTGTTCCGCCAGAGCTGAACACTGAGCACTGTGGTCAGACAGCTTTAGCGCCTATGGAAGCTGGGCTCCACGGAGCCCTTGGTAGCTGATGTCCTTTCCACAACTCCCAAAGCCACTCACCCCCTGCCCGCCCCCAACTCTAATGTCACTGTTATACATGATCCACGGAACGCACTCTTTCCCTGCCCTCGGCCCACCCACCCCAGCCCGACAAGCAGGGTGCCAGGCCAGCGGCACCTGGGACGATGGTTTATAGAGATGTACCTGCCTGCCATATGTGCCAAATAATTCCACTTTTTTTAAAATATGGGGTATTACGTTGTAATTCAAGCTGGCCTTGAACTCACTATGTAGTCCCGGCTGGCCTCAAACTCACAGCGATCCTCCTGCCTCAGCCTCCCAAGTCTAGGATTACAGGTGTGTACCACCACACTTGGCCGATTCCACTGTCAAAACTGCCATAAGAAAAGAAACAATCACAAAGTGAGGATCAAGTCTGTGCTATAGGAACATTTTTCCCAAAGACCAAAAACCTTAGAATTAGGCTGTGTGCAACCAAAAAAGGATCATAGGGCAAGACACCTTAAAGAGGTTACCCATGAATACATCCCCCAAAACAAGTGTTTCTCAAACTGTGTCCAAGGTTAGTGAAGTCCCAGCATTAGTACAGGGATGGAATTTGCCCAACTCAGTAGACAATGGAGGCTTCCTTGTCTTGTGCGACATTTCCTTTCGTCTCTATGTACCTAGCGCCACCTGTACCTCTTTAGCAGGAACCCAGGCTGCATTCTGAGACCCTGCCAGTCCCTCCTCTGAATCTGCCATGCAGGGACCTCCCTGGTTCCCCGAAGGTCTCAGTGTTCAGCTTCCTCTCTTCAGCCCTTGTGGCTCGGCGAGAACTGCTCTTGAATTCAGAAGAGATGTTGTCGAAGAATGACTTGGACTTGTCATAGTAGCAGCTGGGCCCCCAAAGGTCTTCCTCCGCAGGAGTTCTATCATTCTGAGTGACCGCAGCCTGGCCCTCCTCTTCCTCCATGTCCTCTTCAAAATGTAGTTTTTCCTGGAATTCTTCATCAAGTTCCTCTCGGTTGAACTGGGCATTTGCTTTCTCAAAATCAAAGTCCTCTAAAAACTTGATTGTGTTTTCCTTGACATTAGTTGGCTGGTTTTGTTCTCTGGAGCCATTCCCTGCTCTGCAGCTCCCTGGCCGCCGCCTCCTTCTGCTTGGCTGGGCCAGGACCAAAGGGCAGCATGCTCAGGGGGTGTGGGCAGAAGGCCAGGAAGCTCACACACAGCGAGATCTTTGGTATCACAGCCCCGAAAGACGACGTACTCATAAACCTCCTCTCTCGGACGAGAAGGCCTGTCTGTGGGTCGGTCTTCAGTGCCCAAGAACCGCACCTTCGCTAGCCCCACGGTGCAACTGTCAGCATCAATGGTGCACAGGATGCCCTTGTACCGGGTCTGCGTCTTGGTGATGAGGCTGATCTTGCTGCCGAGATACTGAGTACCCGAGAAGCCGCTCACGCCTGCGACCAGGGCGTGCCGGAGCGGTGGAGCACCCGGTCCCGCCGGCCTGGCCACTGTGCGGTTGCTGGGAGTCCGAGTCCTGCGCCTCTCACCGAGGACCAAGGTCGAGGGAATGCAGCTGGGTGCAGGGCAGGGCTGAGACACACGGGCTCTGGGAGCCTTTGGCTTTTTTTTGGAGTCCATAGCTCAAGAAGATCTACTGGAATCACTATAAAAAGTTCAGAATGGAAGGAAAATCAAAAAGAACCCAGGGCAGCAGGCCCCAGCCACCCTGGGGCGGGTGGGGGGAGGCGGGTTGAGCACGGAAAAAGGAGGCTGTTGTGAGCAGGTTTTTCAGACACCAGCAGTCTGCACAGCGCCCTGTAACAGATACTTTCTGAAGAAGGGAGGCTGGAGGAGCTTCAACTCAACTCAGATTTATTTGATAGCCAATTCAGGGTGGGGAGCATGACGGGCAAAGCTGCAGGAGATTAACCTCGGGCTCGCACGCAGTGGAAACGCTGATCTGGCTAGATCGGGGAAGGCAGGAAAACAAGATAGGCCAGCAGCAGGTCCCAGGGTCCCGTGTGGAACAGAGGGGTCCTCAGGGTTGGCTGGCGGGAAGCAGGCTTCCACCCAGAGCCCCCGCCTCCAGTGTGGGCCCGGCTTGGCTCCCTAGACGCTTGCTTCACTCCCAGCATCTGACTGAACTGCTCCCTCCACAAGCCTCGAAAAACACCCACTTTCTGTCTCTGAAAATCGGTGTAACTTCTTCCGAGTCTGTCCCTTCGGTACAGATCTTCCAAAGGCAACCATGGGCTCAGGGTTCTTCTGCATAATTAGACTCCTTACTGTGTCTCAGGAAGTTTAGACGGGCAGCGGCTGCAAACTCTGGTGGTAGAAAATAAGAGAAAGCACCCGGACGCTTGATTTCTACAGTGCTAGCAAAGGTCCTCAGAGTGCTAAAGTATTAAATCCTGTTGTGACTTACGGAGAAAAGGATTGCTGAGAACCAGGATTGCTGAGAACCCCTGGGGGATTCTAAATGCCTAGTCTACTTATAAACCTACAACTATAACATATTATTTTGAGCATACCAGTACGTCTAACAGTGCACTTCAATATAGTTGTTTTTGGGGTACCCAGGATTGAACTCTGGTCCTTGCCCTTTCAAGTCAGGTGGCAGCACCACTGAGCTAAATCCCCAGCCCTGACAATTTTTATTTTTTGCCTTTATTTACTTTTTTGGGCTTCCCGTGGAAAACCATTTGTAGTATTGTTTTTCAAACTGAAAACATTGCAGGATAAGCTTGAGGTTTACACAGAACTTACAGTAAAGGCCTTAAAACTTGATAGCATAAAGCTTTTACGTGATTTAGGTGAAGATGTGTTTCTGTGTTAGCTTTGATTATTATTATTGGTACTGGGGATTGAACTCAAGAACTTGCACTTGCAAGGCAGGCAGTGGCACCACTGAGGTAAATCTTGGGCCCTACTTTTAGATACATATGTATAGAGTCCATCAAAACACGTATATATCAGGAAAAGAAAAACAAAAATATTTTAATACTAAATATATTGAGACATGAGATCAATACCAGTTACCTTCGGCCTCTACAATTACAAGAGGTGCTCAAAGTGGTGTCCACAAACTTCCAGAGATTTATTAGTACGGTGAACTGCTGAAGTGTATGTAATTTTTTTGGCCGACTCTTTCTCTAAATATACATATATATTTTTCTCTGTAAGCTCTTCTTAGATAGACACTCGTGATAGCCCAAAATTTTTGTTCACATGGCCTAACAGTGAGTTAATAACAGATGCCTTTAAAGCTGGTGATATATTTTCATCCAAGTTGTAAATTAAGATAACATTTATCAAGCCAGGCATGCTGGCACACACCTGCACTAGGAGGTCGAGGCAGGAGGACTGCCATGAGTTTGAGGCCAGCCTGAATTACATAGTAAGACCCTATCTCAAAAACAAACAAAAAACCCCCAAAACCAAAATATTTATCGAAAGTCTGGTTTTAGAAATACAATATCTATTGTTGTCTATGTATAATAACTTAAGTTTTATCTTGGTTCAAAAAATAAATATATATACCTTAAAAATGTCAACTGTACTGGGTCAGGGATTTAGCTCAGTGGTGCTGCCATCTGCCTTACAAGCACAAGGTCCTGAGTTTGATCCCCAGTACAAAAAAAAAAGTCAACTGCAGTATGATTTGGTGGTTCTCATGAGTCATCTAAAATCTGCCTGACTGGGCCAGGGATTTAGCTCAGAGGTTCTGCTGCCTGCCTTGCAAGAGTAAGGACCAGAGTTCAATCCCAGGTATTAAAAAAAAAAAAAAAAAGGTTAATTTAAATAAGTAGAAATAAAATTAATCCTTATAAATGTTAATAACTAGGTCATAAATTGCTAATGTAAATTCAAGTATTGCAGGCTCCTTAAGGCTTATAAAATGTCTGATTTGTTAAATGTGTTTTCATAAGTTATTATATTAAGGTTTTTAAGATATTAAAATGCTCTTAGCTAAATTTATAAAACTAGATTAAAAAACAAATAGCTACAAAGATAATTTCTTTTGTTTTCCACTCAGGCTTTTGGTTAATAAAAAATGAGTTTTTTTTTTTGGTATTGGGGATCAAACTTGGGACCTCATGCTTGCGAGGCAGGTGGCGGCCACTGAGCTAAATCCCCTGCCCTAAAAACTGAGTTTAAGAGTTAAAGGTTACATAAGTGCTGGCTTGTAAAATGTTTTCAATAATCTGTGATTGGCTAAATGAACACCTACTGTCTTAGTTAATAGAAATACTATTTATACAGTATATCTGTGGCTAGAGATACATCTAAAAAAAATTCTGTGTTCCCAAAGTACTGTATGAGCTGAAATATGGAAACAGGGCTAAAAGCAGAGTCTGTATTACAGGTAGCTGGGTGAATGCTCACTGAAGAGAAGACTAAACATGTCAGTTTTAATGAATTTGTGCAAGCTAAAATAAAATTTAAAAAATAAAACCATAATAAGCTGTGAATCTAAGCTTTGAAGTTGATAGTTAAAACTACATACCTTTAGTACATGTAAAGTAACTAATGAGTGCTCTTGTATACATTATTATATCTAGACCTTAGATATATAAAATGATTTTAAAAAGTGGCAATAAAAAATCTGGTCCTGCCTTTAAAAACTGATCTATATGTACTGGCTTTGATTAAACAAATATTTTGTTATTGTATAAATGAGATACATTGGAATACTGGGTAATAGGTCTATTGCTATTTCCCAAACTTGTAAATGGTCTAAAGATATCTGAATTCTTATCAATGTGGTTATACCATATAAACCTGTTTTTTAAAAACTTAAAATGTGCTGGGCCCAGGATTTAGCTAAGTGGTTCCACAACCTGCTTTGCAAGTGCAAGGACCTGAGTTCAATCCCCAATACCAAAAAAACAAAACAAAACAAAACTTAAATTTTGCCTTGACAATAAAAACTAAATATAGATAAAGATGCCTATGTAGCTGTGATAATTATTACTAACAACATGGTATATTAAATACATTTGTGTTTCTCATGTGTATAGGCCTTGTAAGATGCAGAACTTGAAAAGATGTGTTATTATACTGATGCCCTCCAGACTAACATTGTTCATGATGATAAGACTTTTTCTTTTGGTACCCGAGATCGAACTCAGTTCCTTGCGCTTGTGAGGCAGGCAGAGGAACCACTGAGCCAAATCCCTGGCCCTGTGATGACAGAGTTTTTCAGGTTTATGTCTGAGTTTAAGTGAGTGGAATGTAACTGTGTTATGGTACTTAAATGTGCCTAAATGATATACAGTCCACACAATGTCACTTAAAATTTAAAGATGGGAGCAATAATTATCTATAAAGTGTATCTGTAAAAAAGTATATTCTACTTAAAAAAATACTTTGTCTTTTAGAAAGGTAACAGATTTAGGTAAAAGTTTATATAATTGGACAAAGGTGACTGACTAAATGGTTATTTTATAATAAAATGAGAATGTAAATATATTTAAAAACCCCAATGGTTCCAGTATGTCACCATAATGGTTAAGATCCTGTTTGCTTTTGATTTTAAACTTTTCTAGTAAAACTTTACAACTGTTATCTGTTAACATTCTACAGAAATTTGACTTCTAAGACAAGCAGGATTGATAAAAAAAAATTTCTCTGGCCATACTTTATATTTCAAGGTACTCAATATTCAGCTTAGATAGTTAAATCTACTGCTCCCACTTCAGTAAGGGTATAACTGACCTCTTGGGTGTTGAACAACTAAGGTTTAGAGACCAAAGCTGAAAAGGTAAACTGGGAATGGAAACAAAGCTTTTGTACATAGGGAAGGGAGAGGTTTGAGGGGAGGTGGAGAGTGGGAAAAAAGAGGCGGGATGTACCACATACAGGTGCAAATTCCCTATGACGTATTATCATTATGTACACCTAAAATGTACCAATAAATGCTTTGTTATTAAAAAATGTAATTGGGCTAAGAAAATAGCCAATATTTGGACTCTAGCCATCCAAGGTCAACGAGGACACAGGACATGAGGGGAACTCTCTTAAAGGATCCTACAACTAATTGATGAGTTGACCAACCTCCTGAGCAGGTAGCTTAGCCAGACCCTGCCTCAAAATAAAATTTAAAAAAGGGCTAGAGAGGGCTGGGGATTTAGCTCAGTGGTTCTGCCGCCTACCTCGCAAGCACAAAGACTGGAGTTCGATCCCCAGTACCAAAAAATAACTAATTAAGTTAAAAATGGGCTGGAGATGTAGCTCACAGTGGTAGTGTACCTACCTAGCAATCTACAGTACCACAAAAATAAACAAAAAACTCTAATAACAAAAGTTCATAAAATGGCTACTGTTTTAAGCTACTAAGTTTTAGGGTGATTTACTCCATAGGAATAGTGATGTTCTGGGGTTTTTTCTGAGTTTCCTATTCTGGGAAGAATTAAGTTACCCTTCTTTGGGACACCGTGACAACTTTATTTTTAACACTAGATCAGTAAAGCACTTTTCACAACTTTTATAGACACTGGTATCTCCTGCCCCACCAGAAAGTTCTATTTTGGAACCCTAACTCTCAGTGTGACTATATGTGGACAAAGGAAGTAATGAAGATTAAATGAGGTCAGGGTTAAATGAGGTTCAGTAAAGGAAGTGGGGTGGGCACGTGCACAGACTGAAGGCCACAGTGAGAAGCTGGCCATGTGCAAGTGAGAAGAAAGGCCTTGACCAAACACACCAGCCAGGCATAGCTAGTGGTGCACACCTCTCATCCCAGCACTAGGGAGGCTAGGGCCGGAAGACTGCTGTGAGTTCAAGGCCAGCTTGGACTACATAATGAGCAAAACAAAACAAAAAAGCCAACCCCACAAACACATTAGCACCCTGATTTTGGATTATCAGTGTCTGGAACCAAGAGAAAATAAATTTGTATCGTTAAAGTCATCAGTCTGTGATTTTGTCCTAGCAGCCCACAATAACTACTTCAATAATGAATATACCGTATCTTGTTTCCTAATAAATGAAGCAGGGACCTTGCTTTATAGTATCTGAGTCCTCACACACTAGAAGTGAACCATGTAGCTGATGGGTATTTTTTGAACGAATATGCATAATGCCAGGGAGGGCAACTAATCTAACAACGTGAGTGAAAAGAGCCTGAACTTGAAAGAGGTTAAAGTAGACACATCTTAACCAACACATGTACTGCTGACACCATGCTAGTTAAAGAACATGGCTTATTTCATTCAGTCTTCTGAAAAACTTTGCTCTATCCGACCCCTCTTGGCCCCAACACTCACACAAAATCACAGGGTACTTGAGAGGTCTGTTTGTTTTCTGTACCCGGCAGTGAATTCAGGACCTTGCGCTTCCGAGGCAAGTGTAGGGCCACTGAGCTAAACCCCTGGCCCTTGACAGGTCTGCTTCTGCACACTGCCTTTTAAACTAGACACGAAAGTCAAGTGGAACCAAGACAGAGACTAAAGTTAGTGTAACGGGAATAATCACATTCCTGGGAGGAGCATAAAGAAAGGAGGCACTGTGATTTGCGAGTACCTTAAATATGCAATGTCACCGAAGTCAGAGGAAGAAAAGTTTCAAGAAGGGCGTGTTAAATGCGTGGAGAGGGCAGACCATGCAGACTGAAATAAAAGGCTGAATTTGAAAATCAGGAGTTTCGGCAGAGTGGTGGTCTCCAGACTGGGTAGTGTTAAGAAACGGAAAGCAAGACATGAAGAAAGTCTCTAGCTAAAGGCAAAGACCATTGATCTTCAGCAAGTTCAGAAGCAAGAGAAGAATGCGTCAAAATGAGGAAGCTGAAGCACCTCCGCCAAACAACAGTCGCCCAGGGGCAGGAGCTGAAAGCTGGGGGTGGGAGGAGGAAGGTGGCATGAAGGGGATCGCAAGAGGTTTTGCGCGCTGACCCCGACAAGGATGAGAAGGAGCCAGGCCCAAGGGAGTGCACAAGCGGTCTGCCGAGCCCCTGCAGGGTCGACAGCACCTCGGCCCAGAAGTCCGGCGCCTCCCCGAGACTCCGGAACCCAGCGGGCCTCGACCTCCCGCCCAGC